TTTTTCTATATATATATATATATATATATATATTCTTCAAAAGAAATTGGTATTTCGTCAATTGGGCTCCAAATAAAGGTTCCCCCGTTTATGTTGAAACTCATATGTGTTTTAATTGATCCGAAAGGCTCTCACTACGGGATTAGATTCGAAACCACGACCCAAAAGACCTATGTCAGAGGTCGCATCAATGAGCCGGAACGTAAAGCGCGCGCGCACAAGCACACACACGTGCACGTGTGTGTGTGTGTGTGTATATAATATTTTAGTATATTAAAATTATGCATCAAATAAATAAATCAATATTAATAATATTATTTTTAATGCGTTATTAAGGGAAAAAATTTGCGTACATAAGACGTACGCAGAGCTGCGTACGTCTGTAACCTGCAAACAAGTTATAGGGAGTATTTTGGGAGGTTATAACCGCGTTATACCCCTGTAACCTACTTGTACCTTCTAGTAAGTTTCTCGCTTCTATTTTAATATACAAGTAGGTTACAGGGAGGTTATAGGGGGTATAACTCGGTTAAAACCTCCTGAAATTCACTCTGTAACATATTTGCAGATTACAGACGCACGCAACTCTGCGTACGTCTTATGTACGTAATTTTTTTCTGCTATTAAGGGCCTGAATGTTGTGTTTAGATATGAAAGTTTATTTGTGAGTTATATAAGTATATGAGAACTACGTTCTATATTTCCTTAATTTTATTCTTTATTTTTAGAGATAATAAGATACACATCACTTGAAAAATTATTATTTACAAAATTATTTGCATAATTTGGAAGTATTAAAACAATACATTTTTGTGTATTAAAAAGCGATTTCTTTTTAAGATCAACATATTTATTTACTGACGGAAGAAGCCGAGTCCCGAACAAGTTGTCCCATCTAGCTCTTTTTTAATTTGGGACATTTACATGCACGCCATCCAACTCCTACCTAATTACATATATAGCATCTAAACTTCACCTCTTACATTTGTACCACTCAAATCATTCATATCACTAAAAAGCATTCCTGTTTTAACTTTAAAAAAAGAAATAAATCTTTTTATGTATAAGTGAAGTGGCATATATATCTAAAAAACAAAGCTTAGGTGTTCTATATGTAAATACATAAGAATTGAGTGGTATGTATGTAAATCTTTCACGTATTAACAAATTGTTAAGAATTATAGTGGGAAATAATTTATTCTTATAAGAAGTTATGAGGAATAAATTATTTCTTTAATATAATGAGATATTTACTTTCCTAATTTATATTTATTTCCTTAGATTAAGAATTATTTGGTTTCCTATTTTATGTTATTTCATATATATATCTTAATAATTAATATGAATTAATTATTAGAGATATTATATGATATATCCTTCCTTTCATATCATTTCTTTTTTATTATTTTTCGTATTATAGAGTTCTTGTAAAGGTTATTTATACCCTCGTTCATATCAATGAAATAATCAAGTATTCTGCATTTTTCTGAGTTTCAACATGATATCAGAGAATAATTTCGTATTCTAGCCGTCGACCCTCCTGTGAGAATTGTCGGACTCCCTTCCTGCCATCCTCTGTGCAGGAAGGGAGAGGAATAAAGATTTTTTCTTGATCGAGAGAGGCGATTGAGGAGGAAAGTGAGATTCCGGCGACAGTAACTCCATTTTCCAATTCGACGTTAACTCGACGACTCCACGGGGGAGATTCGCTCGGACCCCAATCTCAGCTTCGATCATTCGTATCCTCACACCAAGGCATCATCAAGATCATTTCAAGCAAATTCAGTAAACTCGGGCCCCAGCGAACCCCCCCCCCGGGAGATTCCCCTGCCATGAATCGGACAAGCCGTCCATTTCTCCTGCAGTATTTTTTCTTCCCTGCCAAAGCGTCAGGGAGAGCTGTGTTTCCAGCCGACAATTTCTCATGCAGTTTTTCTTATTCTCAGCCAAAGAGTCAAGAGGAGTTACATTTCCATCCGGTTATTTCTCCTGCAGTAATTTTTTTTTCCCTGCCAAAGCGTAAGGGGGAGTTGTGTTTCCAACCAGTCATTTCTCCTGTAGTATTTTTTCTTCCCCGGCCCAAGCGTCAGGGGGAGTTCTGTTTTCAGCCGCCCTTTCTTCTGTTGCTTTCTCTGTAAACAGAATTTACTGGGTGTGATTTACATGTTTTTTTTCTGCAGCCAACGAGAGAATCGCAGTCAACTAAAAGTCAGTTTTCCTGTAGGTTTTTCTTTCTCTGCAAAACTACAAATTCAACCAAGCCTGAATCCAGCAAATTCAACCAAGCCTGAATCTCTTGCCTGAATCTCTTTTCTAAAGTTTTTTTGTGCCAAAACATATGACATATAAAACTCAAAATTCAGTCAAGCCTAAATCCAACAAATCAAGCCTAAATCCAACAAATTTAGTCAAGTCTGAATCTCTCTTCTGCACCGAAGCATATGACAAACAAACTCGAAATTCAATCAAACCCGGATCTAGCAAATTCGACAATCCAAACGACCAATTTTTCTTCACTACTTGGCAAGTTTGGAATTATTAACATACATTCCAAACTTGAGGGAGAGTGTTAAGAATTATAGTGGGAAATAATTTATTCCTATAAGAAGTTATGAGGAACAAATTATTTCCTTAATATAAGGAAATATTTCCTTTCCTAATTTATATTTATTTCCTTAGATTAATAATTATTTGGTTTCCTATTTTAGGTTTTTTCATATATCTCCTAATAATTAATATGAATTAATTATTGGAGATATTATATGATATATCCTTCCTTTCATATCATTTCTTTATTATTATTTTTTCTATTATAGAGTTATTGTAAGAGTTATTTATACCCTCATTCATATCAATGAAATAATCAAATATTCTACATAATTCTGAAATTTTAACACAAGTAACATATGCTAAGGAGCCTCTTGTGCCGTAAGGAGCCTCTTGTGTTGTATAAGACTGTCAAGACGGCTCGTTGTTCGCGAACAGCTCGTGTTCGACTCGTTAAGAAGTTCGTGTTCGGCTTGTTAATTTCGTTCGATAAGTTAACGAGCCGAACACGAATTAAGATGTGTTCGGTTCGTTTTGACTCGAAATACTACTCTTCAAGTTTATTTATATATATTAAGTAGTATTTTAAAAAATTTAATTGACTACTAGGCTGCAAAGATTTATAATCAATTAAAATTTTGATTAAGAAAATAGAATAAAATTATTAAATTATATTGGCTACAAGGCTACAAAGATTTATAACCAATTTAAATATTGATTAAGAAAATAGAATAAAAATTATTAAATTAAATTCAAATGATCTTTTAATATAAATAATAATTCTTAAATCTTATTAAAATTGTTATTGTTTTATGATTGTATGATTAGGATTGTTAAAAGTATTATTTGTTCTTGGACTTCTTAGACCCCTCGTGCTGTAACTCTTGGTTCCATCGTCTGGCACTCATAAACCTGCCCGCAATGAGCTGGAGCTCACCGCTAGCCTCTTCTGCACCGAGGATCTCCTTTCATGGAAAAGAACTCATCAAAGTTGCAGGTAAGATCTTTCTCTAACTTTCTGTATTGCATTAGGTTTTCTGGCGACTGACCTCGGCCATTCGTATTCTTATTCGGTGGCCAATCTTATCCGGTAATATTGGTTTCAGGAGGAGATAAGCCCCGTAGCCTCAGTGTTAAGTTTGCTTCATCATCGTCTGCAATATGGGCAGCAAACTTTGCAGGCATGAATCTTGCTTAAGTTTTCTGTTTTGCTTTCATTGTGTTTGATGAAATGCTTACGCAGACTCTTTCTGGCAGGTAGTATGTTGGCGGCGGATGCTGCAAAGGCTTTGGCAGTTGAGCGCATTATGGTACTATTTATGTGCATCCTTTGAAGCATTTTCGCTGTTATGTTTGTATGAGCTCGGCGTAAGTTAAGCTGCTGGATCGGTTCATGTTTAACTTTTATCTAAAAATCATTGCTAGGACTTTTGTGGATTTTTTTTAACGATTTTGTTAATCACAAACAAATAATTGCTTTGATATGTCTGATTTCTATGCTTATTATTGACCTTTTAACATTTGAAATTTATAGATGCTGTGTGATGACCCAACCCACATCATGTAAGGTATTTTTCCGCCTGGCCCAGTTTGTTCATGTCAGACCGAATTCCATAATTTTACCCTTATTGATGTTATGCTCAGGAGTTCACCATCATATGTACTAATAATGGAAAAGGAATTTGTATTTCTCAATCTCTAAATGTATAATAATAATGATATTTATACAAAAGGTCTAAGACTAGAATAGGAAATAAAAGCTACCACATTCTAAAAATAAGAGCTAAAAATCTGTCTATTCACAATCTAAATTTTTGCCTATAGAATCAAGTCTATTACTGCAATTGATTCCTATAATCTCGTTAACATCGGCCTGCCCTTTCAAACTCATGATGGTATAGTGGATGTCATATTGAGTTTATTCAATAGATCTTGAAAACGCGTGGGATGATGGGTTTTGATGAAAATTAAAAGTATGGTGCCCTGAGTAACATGATCACAAATAAAGTGATAATAAATTTCAATATGTTTGGTACACCAATGAAAAATGTCATTATGACAGATCTGTATAGCACTTCTATTATCACAATGAAACATAGTAGCAGAAGATTGTTTGACACCCATATCAGATAACAATTGGCGTAACCAAAGTAATTCAGATGTGGTGTTAGCTTAGCAAGATACTCAGATTTTGTGCTGGAACGAGCAACGAATGTTTACTTTGTTGCTACATCAAGAGATAAGAGAATCTACTAATAAGCAATTACAAGTGGTAGAACAACAATCTGTGAGATCACCAGCCCAATCAACATTAGAGTAGCTATATAACACCAAATAAGAGTGAGCAGAAAAATGTAGACCATGAAAAAGAGTGTCTTTAATACATCGAAGTATCCGAAGAACTGAAAAAAAAATGTGATGAGCGAGGGGCAGACATGAACTGACTGACCAAGTGAACTGCATATGAGATATCAGGTTGAGTAACTATGAGATAAACAAGATTACTAACAAGTTGTCCATATAAAGTAGAATCATCAAGAGGAGTGCTATTAAGAGGAGTAAGTTTGCATTTGAGTTCCAAGGGGGTTGATATAGTTTTACTATCAACAATGTCCTCTCGAGGAAGTAGATCAGGTGCATACTTAGCTTGAGAAAGATAATAACCTTCAGAATTACGAGAAACTTCAAGACCCAAAAAATAACTAAGATTGTCAAGGTTTTTCATTTTAAAACATTGACTGAAAAAATGTTGTAATTTTGAGATACCAAATTTAGCATTACCTGTTATTATCATATCATCAACATAAAGTAGCAGAAGGAACAATGTTGAATCATGTGGACTAGAGATAAAACCAAATTGAGTAAGAGTAGAACTAAATTTGATGTGGACTAGAGATAAAGCCAAGTTGAGTAAGAGTAGAACTTAATTCGGGTAGAACTAAATTTGACAAACTAGGCTCGAGGAGCTTGTTTTAATCCATACAAAGCTTGTCGGAGCTTGCAGACTTTATGAGCAGAATGATAACCTGAGGGAGGATGCATATACACCTCTTATGACAAATCACCATGGTAGAAAACATTTTTGACATCCATCTTGAGAAGCTTCCATTTATAAACTGCAGCAATAGCTAATAGACTAAAAACTGATGTTAATTGACCAACAAGAGCAAAATTTTCTTCATAATCTATCCCATATTCTTAAGTGTAACATTTGGCTACTAAGCTAGTTTTGTAGCGCTCAACGAGCCCATCAGAACGATGATTTAAAGTTATTCAAATCTCTGATGATGGTTGAGAGAAGATTTCAACAAGAGGGATTGTCTTTCAAAATTAAGCTTCAAAGTCAATTTGAAATTCAATCATTTCAATCCATGAATCCAATTCTCTGTATGCAAGATAGAGACGACAAGTTTCAAACTTAATCAATCCCCTTATGATGGACAAGTTGATATAAGATGTCAACTAGAGGGGTTCTTTCAAAATTAAGCTTCAAAATTTAAAATATATTTGAAATTAAATTCATAATTCATGAACCCGATCCTCTGTAAGTGAGATAGAGTTGACAAGGTTCAAAGTTATTCAAATTTCCGATGATGACTGATTTAATTGTTGATTTTAACCGGAGAAGCCTGTTCTTAAAATTAAATTTCAAAATTTCTTTTTAAACTCAAATGATATATGCTCCAGACCAATCCTCTGTAAACTGGACATAGCTGATCATGTTTGATTCAGTCATGTGTCAATTCTTAAACCAGATCCTCTGCGAACAAGACACAGTTGATATGGTTTATATCTAAGAAAAAAATGATGATAAAATCCTAATAAAATCATGAAAAATATAAAATAGTAAATTAAAAATTACTAAAAGTTAAAAGCAAAAAGCCGTCAACTCTTGACACTAGTCTGTCGACGACGATAAATTTATGATTGGCATATGTTCATATAGAATTAGTGTCATATCATATATACTATTAAATTCACTCTCAAATCAATCTACGTCAGTAAGGACGTAACCCGTATTCTCTGTCCACGTTTCACAAAAAAAAAACGGTTAAGACCCAAGCCCTCTGATAAGGTGGTTGCCGCCAAATGGCGCCATGGAATTACAGTTTCAATTGTAGCTCATTCATTTCCCAATGACTCGGCTCTTTGAGATGTGAATCATAGGTAAATTTGATATGGCACAAAACTCTTTATTAACTAAGGTTAACTCAAATTGGTCCCTTTAGACAAGCATCCCCCAAGTCTATAAGGTCCCCTTAGACAAAGCAACTCATTGTTGCTGACATGGATTATTCGATCAGATTAGGTCTAATACTTCCTCTGATTAAGTAGATCAGGGTCCACGACAACCTGCGATGGCAAAACCAGTAGATCTTGATCGGGTTCGTCATCATTTCTCTCAATAATATGCTTGTAAGCTCAAAGTGATAAATTTTTATGATATAAAAATTCAATCAAATTCCAAAACGCAAAATCCTATCTTGTTGCTACCATATGCTGAGTAATCAATGCCTTATTGACTAGCCTTAATCAAGATTGTTCTCCTGTTATTGAGAGAGGTAGTTAATCATAGGGGATTGCGCTTACAGAAAACCTCGAACCTTAGATCTAAAAAGTTCTTACAAAATGAGGGTGAAATCTTTGAGTAGCGTCTTATCTACAATTTTATCAATCTTCTGAAAATTTGACCCATAATCTCAAGTAAGCTATCTCGTCGTCTATTTTTCAGAGGGGTTTAAGCAACAAATTTTCAGAGCCCATCATAACATAGTAAATAAAATTGAAGGTTTATTTGGAAGGTGTACACATATTTTTAGTAAAGTTAAGTATGATAAATATAGTTGAAGCAAAGCAAGTTAGCTGATTTGAAATCAAAATAAAGTTTTTTTTATATAAATAAGGGTTGCAATATGAAAATGAAATAATAATAATCTCTTTTAAATTAAATTAAATCAGATATAAATAATTTATAACTTTGGTTAATATTAGTAATCATAAATATAGTCAAAGTAAAATGGAAGAATTAAAATGAACGTTTAGGTTTTAAAGATTGATCATATGGAAGATTAAAAATTAATTTTAATAAAAAAAGAGAATTAAAATGAACGTTTAGGTTTTAAAGATTGATTATATGGAAGATCAGATAAAAAAAAATTAATTTTAATAAAAAAAGATATTTTAAATAATTATACTTCGTAAATGTATATCGTAGTTTGAGTTTTAATCGTAGGATAAATATCAAAAGGCTCGTGGTCGATGTCGAGGCTGAGATTGAGGAATAATATATGCATATTTTTTGTGACTACTCTTTTAAATTTGAGTTAGCATATCATTTTTGCTTCTTCTAAATCATTTATATGGATAACTATCAATACTATTTAATTCAATAAATATTTTATTCTTACTCATTTGTTCTATGATAATATTAGTCAGATCAATATGACTCTTATAATTTTTCAATATGATTAAATTTTAATGCATTATTTATAAGATATATTTAATATATAATGAATGATATGAAAATATGATTGATATGAATTAGATAAATTGATTTTATATGCATGTTGATGCATAGAGTTCAGTTACTTATCGTGCTAGTTAGGATTTCAAGATACCTGTGCATGTAAATTAGAAAATAATAGTGATATTTTGTACTTTAATTGATACAATCTTAGATGGTAGTTTTGTGATTGATATAAATGATATAGATAATATAAGATACTGTACTATATGATAGAATATTTTGGACCTTCTTGAATAGTCAATATTGAATAATAAATTATCAATTATTTTTATAATGATTATTATGTTTAAATAGTATGTATGTTACTTTCTTTTATGTTATATTATTGTACTTTAGAAGTACAAATATTTACTGGTTTATTGATAACTCATCATATTTTGAATAATATTTCATATTTAAATTTAAGATAGAAAATTAATAGTATAAGAGAGAATATTTATAGAAGATGTAACGAAGTCAGTGATATAATTTTATCCATGACCTTTTATTTTTAAGTTGATTTAAATTTCATTTCGTAAATGGCTATTTCAATATATTTGGATAATTCTTTGTTAGTTGTTGAAACTGCAATTAGATTAATTTATTGTCCGACCATCTGTATTTGTCTTAGTAATTCTAATCATTGGACTGGGTCGTGATAGTGCAAGTCATCATTTGGAATGAGTATTTGTAGTTTAAAGTTGCTTCTTTTTTTGCATTTTGGTTTTTCCTCATGTGAAAATAAAAAAAAAACATTTATGAGAATATTTGCATTTTCTTTTCTTGAATTAGGTATGCGCTAAAATTTCTTCTTCTGAATGAATTTTTGCATTTCTTCTAACTTGTCAATGTCTATGAAAAAGAAGAAGCATGTGTAGATCCTACATTCATTTGTTAGATTTTATGTCTATTTTATTCTCTTCGGTGAAAAGTCAAATCTTTGCTATGATGTCGGTTTAGTTCTTATGAAGTCAATAGTCAAGTCCCACAACAAATATATTTAACTTGGTCAAAAAAGGTGGTTTCTACCCATTGTTCGAACTTCTTGGATTGAGTCATGATGATGATACCCTTTTTTAAAGAGATTTGATTGTTCAACGATCATTATAAAGATTTGAGAAACGACAACTTTGATTAGTAATGCAATTTGTATTTTATTTTTGATTGATCTAAAAATATTTACAACAGTATTTCTATTTTTTTATTTATAATCCAAAAGTAGATGTTTTTATACAATCCAACATAATGATGCTACACATCTACATGCACTAGCATCCACTACACATTTTTATGCATATATATGTACCTGGTAAATTTGTAAGCATTGCTTTACAAATCTCTGTAGACATTCTATTATGAAGTATACTTTGTGTTCATAACAGCAGGTCAGTCCCATTCAATTTTTGGGCGACTTGAACATTGGTGATTGGTTCGGAAGTTTCTTATATTCTGCCGGACAACAGGCTAATGCAGCAGTCCAGGATCAGTTATCTTCTCTGAGCTTCGCTAGGTTTAGAGATTCTCCTCAAATAGTACTTGCTCATTTTATTTGGATTTAACCTGCTGCCTGTCTGCTCTTTTATCCATTATCAAGCTTCTGGAACTGGTGGTTGCAGTTTGGCGGTTATCTTTGGCGCAGGCCTTGTAACTAGTTTGTCTCCGTGTACACTGAGTGTCTTACCGTTGACATTAGGTTACATAGGTATGTACAGAAAAGTAATAAAATTATTTGAAGATTCACATACGCACTACTCAAATTTTTCTAGGTATGTACAGAAAAGTAATAAAATTATTTGAAGTTTCACATACGTACTACTCAAATCTTTCTATATTTACACATCTAACACCTAAACTTCAATTTTTACATACAGGCCACCATATCTATGCATAAAATGGTATATTACGCTTTTTAACGATATGAAAGATTTAGGTGGCATACATGTAAAAGGTAAAGTTTAGGTGTTATATATGTATATACATAGGAATTGGGTGGAATGTATGTAAATGCCTCAAAATGATTTAATTGTTTGAATTTACAGTTGAATTTGCTTGTTTAGTCTCATTAAAATATTTCTGTTTTGGCCATAATACATTGATGCTTGTAAAATATCTTGCAGGAGCTTTTGGCTCTGGAAAAAGTCAAACTGAGGTAACTACCAGTGATAACATCTCAATTGGGTTTCAGATAGTACTATTGTCTTGGTAAAATAAGGTCTAGTGATCCTGTGAAGTTTATTATAGTTGAGTGAGATATACTTCAAAATTATTCCAATTAAAGTTGAAATGCTAAGTTGGTCAACAATAAAAAATGGCTTCTTCTACCTTTTTGCTTATCCTTCTAGTCATGAATGATATTTCCTTTAAAGTTTGAATTCTTTTAATTACATTTGATTAACTTTTTTTTCCAACGGCATATTATTGTTTCTCCAACTCGTGATGTTATTTTCACATCATCTTTTGTCTAGTTATCATAATAAAAAACTAAAACATCTTCAGCTTTTAAATTAACATCCCTCTTCTTTTGAATTTTAAGATAAGGCACTCACGTTACTATTTTTTGACTTGAAAAAAGAAGCTCGCCTAGCGACACCTTAGTAATGACATGCCCCTGAACTCATATTGTCTATCCTATGTACTGAGGTGGGTGCCCGAATTACCTAAACATTTCACCTCCTATTTGTTGCCTTAACTATTCTATATATCTCCTATTGTACAAATCATCAAATCTTGTAGCTTTTAATTTGTTCATTTTTCACTACAGTCTCTGCAAGGCTATTGACCTTCTTTTAATCATTTTAAGTTTTAGTAGTATTTGTTTTTTTTTCCTACATTTTAAAAGCATTTTAAAGGCATTTTAGAAGCATTTTAAAAGCACGCTTCTTTTCCTTGCATTATGCAACACTTCACTCATACATCAAGTTCCTTATTAAATTTATGATCTATTTTTAGGATTCCCAAAATTTCCATCACAATCATCTTAAGTTGAACTAGCCATCTTTTCCACATTAGGTTTGACTCATCCATAAAATTTCACATTTTCTTCGTAGCAACCCATCTTTAAGGTTTAATAATTATTTTTTTTTTTCTTGATAATACTATCATATACATTCACAGTCACCATTGTATTTTGTGTGGTCATTCTCTTTCCTAGAATCACCTTTCAATCTTTGCAAAGAGATTTTTTTTATTCTTCTAAGTGAAAAAAAGCCTATTTATAGTGCTGGCTCTTGTAAATAATTATATTATCCTCATTTTTTAAAGTATGTGTTTGCTATTGTAAGATTATATAAGAAATTAATCATAGCTTCTCCCTTTATAATTTTTGATCTTCTATTCATTAACCACCATGAATCCTCTTAATTTCCATCCTATTAGAGCATATATGTCCATTTAAATAAATATCCTTCCTTCATGTGTAGTAATTCTTAATCTCTACCTACTTATTTTTAAAACCATGTTCTGATCAAACTTCAAAACCATTGCACTAACCACAATCCTTATATTTTTCTCATTTTTATATGTTTTATTATAAACAAGCATTGCACTAAGAACTCATTTTATGCTTTTTGTTGATGATATCTTTCTTGCGGATAAAACTAGAGATAGTTAAAAAAAACTTGATTTATGGAGTTAACATTAGAGTCTAAAGTTTTCCGTTGGTAGATCTAAACCTAAATACATGGAATGTAATTTTAGTAGCAGTAGATCTAGTGATAGAGTCGTAACAATGGGTGATCAAGTCATTAAACAGAGTAAACATTTTGGGTATCTTGGGTCTATTGTTCAAAGTGATGGCGATATAGATGGGAATGTTATTAGTAGAATTCAAGTGGGATGGTTGTAGTGGAGTAATGTATTGGGTCTATTATGTGATAGAAAAGGACCACTTATACTTAAAGTAAAATTGACACGGGAGTGCTCCCGTTTCGGATGCGAGACGCGAGCCGCTACTCCCGCGTGATCACGAGAGACAAGCCGAAAGTTTGGTTTTCTTTCTTTCATGTTTTCTTTCCTATTATCATTCATTCATCTTTAGTCTTTTTCTATATATGTGTTATGTTAGGGTCTGGAAGTCAGTTTTTGCTGTGATTTTGTTTAGGAATTTTCTCTCTTCGAGAGCTTTATATGAGGGATTGGGCCGTGCTTCAACTATATCTCTCTCGTTAGGTGGTGATTATCTTCTCCTATCCCCTTCTGCATCCTCCCACATCGCCCTTGGCCACCCCTTGCCTGCTACATTTGCCCGTAACAGCATTTTTGTGCTGTTTTTCGCAGTTCCTGCATTTCAGTCTCCTTGTCCGCCCCTTGGCTACTGTTCCAGCTGCCCATATTCATTTCCCTTGTTGCCTCGATGCCATTCCGGCCACCAGAAATGCCCCTCTGCAGCCTTGACTGCTGTTCTGGCCATTTCAAACCACTTTTCTGCCATCTAGCCACTGTTCCTACCCTACCCCTTTGCTGCCATCATCCCGGACAACCGTGAGACGCCAACATTTGTTGCGTACTTGCTGTCCGGAACCCAGAAAACTGTTGCATTGCTGTTTTTTGCTAGCTAATCATCTCGTCCATCATCCCACCACCTTTAGATACAGTGTAGTTGTGTTTGTCGTTGCACTTCCCTTTCAAATATGTTTGGTTGCAGAAAACTGTTGCATTGCTGTTTTTTGCTAGCTAACCATCTCGTCCATCATCCCACCACCTTTAGATATAGTGTAGTTGTGTTTGTCGTTGCACTTCTCTTTCAAATATGTTTGGTTATAATTACCTATTTGCTTTCAGTAATAAAATTAATATTTCCTTTGTTGTTTGGGTTAACTTGGATATCATTTGGTATCAAAGCTAGCCTAAGCCTAGTCTCATTTTAAGTTTTATAGCATCCACCATCCCCCAAATCTACCTCCACTCAAATTTTTTCTTTCCACCGTACACACCTCATATCCACCTATCCACTCAAATCCACACGCCACCATCGAGGAGGCAATTGTCAGAACCTGATCAGGAATTGACTATTGATGACATACAACGACATCTCCGCTAAGTGCTGCAACAGCTCGATGGCATTGCTACAACAGCTCGATGACGTTGAGGAAAGGACCCAAAACGAGATCACCACTGATCGTAATAGTGAAATCAGTGGAGGTGAGCAAGAGGACTATCTGAATCCCTTTCTTAGGGATAATTTCAATGAAGAGGAGGATCAACCAGGGTACTTTAGGATACAAGTATCAGAGGAGACCAAGAGATGAAATGTATGTTGGAAGATACAAAGATAAGATGTCAGTTGAAAGATATAGATATGAAGTGTCTGTTGGAGGATACCAAGAATTAGGAGTGAAAGTGCGCCCTCGAGGGGAGAATTGATTCAGATGATTTCCTCGAGTGGATGCAGACTGTTGAGCGGATCTTTGAATACAAGAAGATACCCAATGAGAGAAGAGTGAATCGCCGTCTTTAAACTGAAGAAGGGTATGGGAACCCAAATAGGGAGAGGTAGAGAGGACAAGACAAAATTACTTCTTGGGAATGAAGAAGACGATATAGCGACAGTGCTTACTCGTGCATTATTGTCATGATATTTTCTTAAAGCTCCAATACTTGCAGCAGAAGGAGCAATCAGTGGAGTACACTACATAATTTATGTAGCTTAAATTGATGTGTGAGTTGAAGGAGCCAGAGGTGCATCATAGTCGGGTACTTGGGAGGCTTGATACCCGCCATCAGTAATGTGGTCCAAGTGCAAACTTATTAGACACTGAGGGACGTATTGACCTTAGCACTGAAAGTGGAGTGGCAATAGAAGCAGGGAAGACAACTATTGTCAGTCATGCAACCACTCATTGTGGGATATCTTAGAAGGAGCATGCCTTAGGGAGTGGACCAGACTAGTTAGGAATAGGATAGAGTTGCTTTGAGTGAAAAGAAGCCTGAGAAGAGTAGCGTGCCCACTACAGTCCCAGCTAGGAAATATTTCAGATGTCGTTGTTTTGGACACATCACTTCCAGTTGTCCAATAAGTTGAGTTGTGTTCTTCACCGAGTAGGAGCAATGGAGGACGCGAGTGACCAAGTGGCTGCTGAAAAACAAGATGAGGAGTACCATCGTCCACCAGATGAGGGTGAGATGCTCGTGGTTTGATGGGTTCTATAGATTGAGGCTACGAGGGATCAGTATTGGCTTCGCCACAATATATTCTATATCTGTTGCATTGTGAAGGGAAAAGTATGCAATCTCATAATCAATGGAGGGAGTAGCAAAAATGTGACATTCACACAGATGGTTGACAGAATAAGCCTAATGACTCGGAGGCATTCTCAACCGTATTCCCTGACGTAATTAAAGGAGAACATGGTCATCATTGACAGGAGATGTCACATGGACCCATTCATTATGCAGTTTCATAATCAATGGAGGGAGCAACAAAAATGTAGTATTCACACAGATGGTTGACAAAATGAGCCTAATGACTCGGAGGCATTCTCAACCGTATTCCTCGACGTAATTGAAGGAGAACATGATCAACATTGACAGGAGATGACACATGGAGTTTTTGATTGGGAGCTAGCTACAATATTAGGTTTGGTGTGATGTGATGTCCATGGATGTCTGTCACTTTTTTCTGGGAAAACCTTGGCAATATGATCGTAAGACTCAATATGATGGGTTGAGGAACACCTACTCATTTATGAATGATGGAAAACACACCTTCTCATGCCTTATGTGGAATCTAAGGTTAAAAGTGCTCGTGTTAGCAGAGAATTATGAAGAGGATCTATTTTGGTGATGATAGAAGATAACAAGACAAAAGAGTCTGTTTCAGATGCCAGTAAAAAGAGAGTTTTAGGACTTCTTGTTCGATAGCTTACTGTCATAATTGTTGTCGTTCGAGGAGATTTAGGCTACCCTCACTTCATATCATGTTGAGCCAATCTTGGATTACTTTGGGAGGATCCAGTAGTAGATATGTGACACGCAGATCCAATTCAATTTAGGATTGAGCTCCTGGAAGACTGGACCAATATAGATCGTTGTTTGCAAATGGGGAGAGCTCCATAAGTGTTTTTGGAGACAATGCAGTCGCTAGTGGGGTCCAGGTGCTCCTCAAGCCGCAGTCAAAGAGCCTTCAACCTTGGGAAGTCACAGCAACTACGTCGCCTTCAATGGTGTCAGCCTGATGGCATACTATAATGAGATAGAGGCTTTGACGAATGAGGTCGAAACCTTAGGAGAATGATGCTAGAGTGCTCCTATTTTGAACGCAGAAAGTGAGCGCGACTCCCGCGTGATCTCAGGAGATGGGAAACAGGCGAAAAGTTTCAGTTTCCTTCTTTTTTTTCTTTCTTTCCTATTATCATTCATTTTTTTTAGTCATTTCCTATATATGTGTTGTATCAGGGTTTGAAAGTTAATTTATGGCTTGCATTTCTTTAAAACAGTCATCAACATTTATTTTCTCTCTTCGAGGGTTGTATCTGAGGGATTAAATGCTGTTTTAGTTGTATCTCTCTTCTGAAATTGTGATTATCTTCCCCTATTTTCTTTCTCATCCACCCACATTGCCCCTGACCATCACTTTCTTATTGCAGCCGCACAAAATAACCTTTTTATGTTGCTTTCTACAGTAATCTGCGTTCCAGTCGCTTTCCCCTCCTCTTTGATGTTATTCCAGCCACCTATTAGAATATTGGAATATTAACATATAGATTTTTGTATTAATTTATTTTATTTACTTTATTTTTCTCTTTTATTATGTTTTTATGGATTTCCTTTTTAGTAGATCTTGTAATGGGTATTTATACCCTTCTTTGCATCAATAAGAAATATATTGGGTCTATTCTCAAGTTAACATGATATCAGAGCATCAGTTCGTTCCAGCATTTGTTCTAGCGTCGTTTCTCTCTCCAGTCGTTTGATTCAGCAGCAGGTCTGCCTTCCAGACACAACATTCATTTTGGCGACCGGTTCTTCTGTCAGCGGTTCGATCTAGCGGCATGTTCTGCCTTCCAGGCGCATGTTCCTCCTCCAACCAAATGGATGTACACCGAGATCCTAGCTCCAGTTTGATAGGGCTTCCTTCTGGACTGTTCTTATTGCAGTCGGATCTTTATCCTGGATCATCGAAGCTTCTTCTTGAGGTTGTATCTACCTCTGCAGGATCTCCCGTTGCTGGTTCTCCGCCTTGCAACCAGAATATTCCTATGTCTCAGCATCCGAACATCTTCTTTGGCTCAGCCAGAATCATGGTGGGCTCTACCACAGAGCCACCTACCAACACTCCGTCGGAATCATGGCTCGGAAACGCTCCAACGAGCAATTCTTAAACTCTTTCCGTGAGTGTATCAAATACCTTGAATCCATCCGCTAAAACTTTTCTCTTCAAACATAATCCCGCCGCCATGAGCTTTTCTTCCTCAGTCAACCAATTGATTGCAAAATATCACTCCACCCGATACACCACCCATGTGCATCTTCCTCTTCGAAGATAGACATCTTTAGTTTTCTGACCCTTGCATCTCCACCCCAACTTTCTCTTCCTTCATTATTTCACCCCATGTGTCTAGGGAGAAACTCCCTCCAACCATAGGCATACCCAACTCTTGATTAACTTCTTTCTCCTTCGTGTTCTTCCATGCTCCTTACACCATTCCTCATTGTTCTTTCATCCTTCATTATTTCACCCCATGTGTCTAGGGAGAAATTCCCTCCAACCATAGGCATACCTAACTCTTGATCAACTTCTTTCTCCTTCGTGTTCTTCCATGCTCTCTACCCCATTCCTCATTGTTCTTTCGTTCGATCTCATTCCCTTTTAACCTAGCTAAGTATTTCCTAATCAACCCTTGGTTAGGGTTTGCAGCTGGAACGATCGACATGGCCTTGGACTACATCTCCATGAGCTTTTTCATCATCTATCGCATTTCTCCTATGGTCTCAAAGTCATCCTTCCTGTCCTTTATGATGGTGAACCGTTCTTCCATTCCCGATTTGATTTATCTTACCTCTCCTTCCAACACATCCACTTTCTTTGATGTTATCCCTCTAAGATCTAGACTCTGATAACAATTTGATATGTTCTGGAACCAAAATTAGTGGCCAACAACAGCCAAATTGAAATAAGTGAGCGAAGAAACTCAAAAGGGGGCTGCCCTTACGAAAAAGAAAAGAAAGCAAGTAAGATACAAGATGATCTATTGTTCGAGAGGTAGATCGTCTATCCCACAATTCTAGACGTTGCTAGAAATGCCTCATGAAAAAGAAAGAAATTGAAGCCAACACAAAATAGCACATAAGAACAAACCCTATCCCCCTTTTCCCTCTAAATATTCCTCTAGAGCCTTTCCAAACTTTTTCCCCCCATATCCTCCATTCCTTTTCTTCTATAGGTAAGCAGTGGCCTCAAGACTTCCGTTTGGGCGCCCCATCACCTGTGATGATCCCGTTCCGCCTAAACCGATCTCCTGGTGTCTTAGCTTGGGCTGTCAGGTCTAGGCCTGTCCTACCTGGACCGGTTCAGCTGGTCTGGGGACAGGCGGCTCCGTATCAAAACGATCCTTCACTACTCAAATAGAACAAGCTGAAAGAGAGCAATGTTTTCTAGATTTGATATTCATGTATTAATCTTTATGAATTTTATTTTATATGTGGAAGAGGAGAATCTCTTCGATATTATTGATTTAATATAGGAGCAAATATCAGGACATAGAAAATGAATAGAAAAGGAAATAGATATTGAGGACATATGTTCTCATATAACTCTTGCCAATATAACTTTTACTAATATATATTACTCGCCAATAAATTTCTTTTATATGGATGGGATGGTGGCCCGTGGTTGGACATTTTTCTCATGCACTAAAATGTCTCATGCTTGAAAATAAATTTATTTTATCATATATATATTATTTAATTAAAGGATGTACAGTTATTGCCAAGAAATTTCGTTTATACGGATGAGATGGTGGCCCGTGATTGGACATTTTTCTCCCATACCGAATGGTCCATGCTCGAAAAAAAAAATCTTTTATCATATCTATATTATTTAAATAAAGGAATGATGTAGAGTCATTACATTAATTCTGGAACAAAGCCACCGTGGTAAATAATGTATCACCATCCATGATACATCGATCGTGTGTTTCACTTGAATCATGATATAATGATCAAATTCCTCATTCCCTATTGTAAGAAATTACGAATAGAAAATGTTTCCCTAGTTAAGTGTTATTTTCGTTTGTTTGATTTTAGTCTCTTCCCTTTATTTATTTTTTTTTGTTTTTGTTTTATAACTAGGGTATTGCAAATTCAATTGCTTTTTCATTGGGGCTCGCAACAACATTAGCCCTTCTAGGCGTTGGAGCTTCTTTTGCAGGAAAGGCTTATGGACAAATAGGAAAAGGACTCCCATTGGTTGCGTCAAGCTTGGCAATTCTTATGGGTTTGAATCTTTTGGAGGTGAGTTTGTAATTTTGATTTATCATGCTGAATAGCCTATGCATTTCTCATTTTGGAAAAATAAATGACCTGTATCAATTATTTAAATTGTTATTTGTATTATTTATGACTTACTTTCAGGATTCTTTTGCCATATCAACTCTTCTTCTAACTCCCTTTCTAGCCCCAGAAAGTGCCCTATTTTAACAATCTCTTTCCTACTCTGACGACTTCAACGTCTCTGTTACCTCTTTTTCCTTATCCCTTTCTTTCCCATTTTGTTCCTTTACCTATTTTTCTTACTTGATATATTAGTTCTTTTTTGCCGCCTCTTTCTGTTTCTTCAGATTGATTTGGGAAGGCCTTCCTTCAATGCATAGAGTCTGACACATCAAATATGGGGCATTTACATAGGCACCACACAAATCTTATATATTTACATATTTAACACCTAAACTTTCATAGTTACATAACCTTCAAATCTTTTACATCACATCAAAAATATCATTATCCCTAACTTTTTGAAATTAAAATACACCTTTTCATGTAAAGATTTTTAATAACAAGGTGTTAAAAATGTAAATATCAAACTTTAGGTGTTAAACATATAAATGCTTAAGAATTGTGTGGTATGTATGTAAAATTTCCATATATTTAACATGTTTTTTGAGACTTCACAGTTTCGCCATCATTTTCCATAAATTTTCCATAAATTTTCTATTATTTATCATTTCTTTCCTAATTTCATGATGTTACTTTCATTGCTGCAGATTATTGAATTAAAGCTGCCATCATTTTTCAACAACTTTGATCCCCGTGCAGCTGCATCTAATTTCCCTTCTGGTATTCTGCTTTTCGGATTTTTTTTTTGGGTATCTTTGCTCTACAGTGCTATTACTTTATCCAGTAATCCAACTTTCAGGTGTACAAGCATACTTGGCTGGCCTAACTTTTGCCCTAGCTGCCTCACCATGCAGCACACCTGTCCTCGCTACTCTTTTGGGATATGTGGCTGCATCAAAAGTATGGATCATATTTTGAGTTGTTCTGATTTATGGTGCATATTTGGAATATATAGAAATAAAATGAAAAAAAATTCAATGTTTTTCTTTTTTCTATTAGACTAAAAATAATAGAACTGTTTTTGTGAAAACCGCAAATTTTGAGAGAGGCTTATAATGGCTTGGTGTATTAAAAGTGACGGTAATAGGAGCTTGATTAAAGATGAAAATGTCAAGGAAATATGGAATTACTACTATGACAAATTAACAGGCCGTTTGGGGCGGCAATTTTACTGTGGTGTTTTTTGGCACCGCCGTTTGGGCTGTTTAGTTTCTGCGGTCGCGGGGGTGTTTTGATAAATCCAATCGGAACGTGGGCCACGTGGTTCATTCCTTCAATTTTATTTTACGCGGCTGCCCTTTTGTGTTTGTTCCGTGGCTGTCCTCTTGTCCACGAGTTGACTATAGCTCTAGTTTCTCTTCTGCCGATCCTCTTGGATTCATGGCTCTGGTGGCTAGGCGTTGTTTCTGTTTGTCTCTTGCTGGTTGCAAGTGATTGTTCCGGTGACCCGTACATACTTCACCTTCTCCTCTCTTTTCTTCCACTCAATTTGGTGGTTATGGGCACTCTGTGCTCTGTGCGGTAGTTTCCTTTCTTCGGTTGGTGGTTGTTGCGGTGAGTTTTCTATTCTCTCTTTTCATGTACCTTTTCTTCTTCGACTTAGTTTGGTGGTTGTGCGCATTATGCGATATGTGTGGTAGTCCCTCTTTCTCTCCCATTTGTTCCGATATGTGTGGTAGTCCCTCTTTCTCTCCCATTTGTTCTGATAATGTTTGCCTTATCTATTAGGTGGTTTTATGATTCTATAAATGCTAATGTGCAATGGTTCTCGGTTTGTTTGTTGGTTTCCTCTCCCATGATTTCTCTCTTTGCTCAGTTTGGTGGTTTTCGGTTTGATATACTCGGTTGATGATTTTGATGTTTCATGTTGCATCCATAATGGATTTGGTTTATGATTTTTCTATGCTCAGTTTATTACACAACAAACAAGCTTATCATGGATGATTTTGATTTTTTATGCTGCATACATAAAGCTTGTTTGTGATATGCTCGGTTGTGATATGCTTGGTTGATATTGTTGATGATTTATGTTGCATCCGTGATGCTCGGTTTAATGTTTTATACTTTATGTTGCATCCATGTTTAAGCTTCCTCGGTTATATGTCTTTATACTTTATGATGCTCGGTTTGCATCATGCAAATGCTTTATACTCTGTTTGTGATACGCTCGGTGGTGGCTGTGTTTCCATTTGAACATCGAAACACATATGGAGGTGTGATGGTTGTGGATGTGCAGGTGTGTGTAGGTGCTTACCAGAATTTTGGTTGAGGTATTTAGTGTTGTTGGTGTGTGGGTGTGCTGGTGTGTGATGTGTGCAAGTGTGTGGTGTGTGGAGGGGGTGTTGGTGGTGTGATGTGTGGATATGTGGTGTATATTGCATGTTAGCTCTTAGGGTTTTGTATGACATGAGCGGGTGTGGTAAATGGTGTGGGGATGTGTGATGTGTGATGTGTGGATATGTGGTGTGTGGATGTGTGGTATGTGGATGTGTATGTGTTGGTGGATGTGCTTGTTTGTGGGTGAGGTGGAAGGTGTGTGGTTGTTTGTGATTTTGGATGTGTTTGTGTGTGGGTGTTGGTGATTGTTGATGATTTGTTTGTGTGTGGAAAGACATTGTTGATGATTTGTGGCATTCTTTATAGCTCTCAGGGTTTAGGCTTATTATTTTTTTCATTCTAGTATCACAATGGTTAAAACCAAAGAGGTTGGTTCATCTGCAATGTGGGATAATGATACAAATATAATATTTTGTTATCTTTGTCTCAAGAAGGTCGAACTGGAAAATAGACTGACAATCTATTTCAACGAGGAAGACTGGCAAAATATTATTAGAAAATTCAAGGAAAGTACATACAAAGAGTATGATAGAATTCAGTTAAAAAAAAGTGGGATTAGCTAAATAGTGATTGAAAATCTTGAAGGAATTGAAGCGAGGTTCAACGGCCTTGGTGTGGGATCCAGTAAAATGAACATTTGATGTTTTTGAAGAGTGGTGGGCAGAGAGACTAGATGTGAGCATTTTTGAAATGTCCACTGTTTTTGTCAAATTTTAAATTGTTTTTAAATCCAATAACATGTTATATGAATTTGTAGGTGGTGTCTACTGCGAAAAAAATTAAATACAGGGAATTGATCCTGAGTTGGAGGAGAAGTTGGATCGTTGTTTGAAGGGTTTAGTGGCATTCCCGACAATTTGGGAGTTGATCAAATAGGTGATTCCAATGAAGGTCCCAGTCCGAACCTCCATGAAGTTAAGTCCACGAGACGGTCAAAGCATCCTCAGGTTGAAAAAAATAAAGTGAGAGTTGCTTTCCTCGAAAGTCATATATCACAGTTGGTGGCTTCATGCACCAATAACCCTGGTCGATCACAAGTAACTTCTGTCCAATAGGTTAAGTGATTTTTGGAGGTAACTTCAGAAATTTACGAGGACATACCAATGTATTTGTTCTCTATGAAATTGCTAGAAAATTCGACCGGAGAGAGTTTTGAAGACATGCCACTGTATTTGAGTGTCATGAGAACTTTTTTTTTGTGCGTCAAGGCAGAAATATGTGAGATAGATTGGCATTATTAAAAATATGTATGATGAGCATGAATTAGTATTATAACTAGTTGTAGAGTAATCCAAGAGTTTCTAATTATCCTAATTTTACATCATGGATCATCATTTGAGTCCATATGTTTTTGTATTTGTTATGAAAATACTTGCAAAGCATATTCGAAGTGCCTTGGTGCATGTTTTTTTTGTAGATAATATAGTTCTAATTGGTGAAGCAAATGTTGAGCTTATGATGTCATTTTAATGAGAATAATATTAATAATTATCATTTACTATAATTAAAAATGTGATATGTAGGTGTAATAAATTTATGTATATTGGATCCCTTATATACAAAAATGGGGATATAAATGAGGATAAAACTCAAATTTTAAAGCTAGAAAGTTTAAATGTAGAAATCAACTTTAGGCCGATAATATACATGTGTGTGTGACTCTGAATGTTGAGTTGTAAAAAATTCGTTGACATCCAATTTGAATGTGAAAGAAATGAGATGCTAACATGGATGTATGATAACATTAGGATGGATAGATTCAGAAATAACTATATTGGAGGATAGGTTGGATTGACTTGTACAAAATATAAAGTAGCTAAATTTACACGGGTAGTTTAAAAAGTGTGCAAAAGGGCGTAAATGTGTCCAGCACATAAGTTGATAAAAAGTGTCAGATGATTAGGAAGGAAAAGTTGTAAATCTGAAATTATATGAATATGTGCATTGTCTGAAAAAATTTGCAATGAATATGTTAAACAAGAAAATGAATCCTCATGAATATACAACAACAACAACAAAAACTTTTTCCCACTAAGTGGGGTCGGCAATCCTCATGAATATACAATCAATAAAAAAGGAGGATTCATTTCACCAGCTCTAAATAGTTGTGATGAGACTGATGATGAGATTATAGTCTTTAGTTTTGTTGATTGTAGGTGGAATTACTTATATGTAGTATATGATTTTTTTTTAACTGAAGATTCCTTTTTTTAGGATCCTGTGATCGGTGGGAGCTTGCTGCTGACATATACAGTGGGATATGTATCTCCTCTTCTTTTGGCAGCCTCATTTACTGGGGCTCTGCAGGTTTTTTACCTTTTTTGATTTATATATTTTTTATACTATTTCAATATACTCTCAGAAAATGTTGAGCATAGCTAGCCGTGCTCTTATGCCATTCTTGCTTAAGAAAATGCACTTTCCTGCTTTCTAGAGCTATGTTACAGCCAGGGATTAGAAGGAACAATACCAAGTTAAATTTTATATTCTTGTTACAATATTATTAATTTTATTAATTTGGCCTTTTGTTTTTTATTTTCAGGGTTTACTTTCGCTTAGGATGTTCTCAGCGTGGATAAATCCAGCGAGGTAAACTTCCTGGGCTGATTATGAAATTTGTTGGATTGTCGAAACATTTGTCTTATCATCCTATTCCATCAAAATATTTCGATACAATTTTTATTCATTCGAAAGCTTTACATGCATATCACTCAATTCTTATGTATTTACATAACTAACATATAAACTTCAATTGTTACATGCAGGCCACCTTACCTATGCATGAAAAAGTATATTTCACTTTTTTATAGTTGAAATTGTAATAATTTTTATGTGATGTGAAAGATTTTAGGTCGTATAAATGTAAAAGTGTAGATGTTATATAGATAAGCACATAGGAATTGCGCGGTATGTGTGTAAATGACCCCTTTTTCATTTCTATATTTTGGAAGGATTTTGTACGTCCACTGTTTTCAAGGCTAAATCATAATTGATTCTGCAGCGGAGCACTTCTTTTAGGTGGAGGAATTTATACGCTACTGGATAGGCTGTTTCCAGTAACAATGGCAATGTAGGTGATGTAAGTAAACTTCTGCCTCAATAGTTCTGAAATGTAAATATATTGCTACCTTATGTAATAGTTCACTTTTGATCAATGATAAATTAGATATTGCGTGGAATTTATTTTATATTTTTAGTTGTTTAGCTGGTTATTTGCATGGCAATGTCTAGGCTTTTGATTTTATTTGATAATTTATTTATTTATTATTCGCATTATTTATTGATGTCAAGTTGTGCCAGCTGTGTCGTAATACTGCCTCATTTTTGCTTATTATGTATGTTTAGATGATTGATTAGAAGATCAATTTATGTATCATTTTTCATGAACTCGTTACCAGAGTGATTGCTCATTCATTAAATATTTGGAAAATTTACATACATACCACAATTCTTATGCATTTGCATATTTAACACCTAAAGTTTGATATTTACATTTTTTTACAACACTATGTTATCATAAGCCTATGCATGAGAAGATGTATTTCACTTTTAAAAGTTTTGTAATGGTGGTCTTCTTATGTAATATTAAAGATGTAAGTGTTATGCATGTAGATATGAAATCTTAGGTGTTGGATGTGTAAATAGATAAAAATTGTGTGGTATATATGCAAATGCTTGTTATGCCAAAATAAATAAATAATTGACCCCTTCTAAACAGTGAAATACATGCTATTTTACTAGGAGCAGTGCCCAGGTTTCTTAATTCATTAAATTGTAGTAATCTGTCATTTTGATGAACTAAATGGCTCCTAAAAACATTAGAAGTTAAGCACGATAAGGCTTTGAATGACTTGACCGGGTTCTAATAGGGCCTGGTCTCGACCAGGTTGGCCGGTTTGGGTAACATCTCTGGTTTGCGATTGCACACATGCTAAAGAGGCGGCTGCCATCTTCGCTTGTGATGACTGGAGGGGTTGTTGAATTGGGTTGCCAAACACTCTGGGTCATGGGTAGTGCACCAATTTTTTATCGAGTTTATGCTCGATCATGACTATTGGTTCATTTGAGGTTGTTTGACTTCTAGGAGTTTCTACATTCTTTGCATCCTTAGCCTTCTTTTTTGTGAGCTCTATTTTCAGGGAAATCAATGGTTTTTGTGAGCTCTTCATTAATATACAAAAGAAGGAAAATTTCTATTGTTTGATTGGAGATGTAATTTTCAATGATTGTGTTTAGAACTATTAGTAACTGATGTGTTTGCCACTTGTCTAGGTTGGTGGGTCGGGCCAACCCGAGCAATTTGGTTGACAATTATTCATTTACAATAGGGGGCAATTTTGTTCATTTGTTGTTAAGGGGTATTTCAATATGTTTTCGCAAGAGATTTAATATTACCCTCAAGTTACTAATAAACTCCAAATATGCTAGTTTATGATATTGGGCTTTCAAATCGTAGAAGGATTTCTTTGTTTTAATTGTTACTTAATATCTTATTGATCGTATCTCTATGAAAACAATTTGATTGGTTAATTGTTTTCTTTACCTCCAAGAGATGGTTCAACATAGCAATCAATGGCCTCAATCTTTATGTAACTCTTTGATTGTCTATTCCAGGCCATGCCACCTTCTCCCTTACAAGAAAGATTGATCTAATCATCATTAATACCTTTCGTACATTTATTTGTATGCTAAGTGAGTTATCTACTATCAAAGAAATGAATAAATGTCATTTGATGGGTGTTTTGAGGTATTTTGTCATAGTAATCAAAATGTCAATCTAAAAAATTATAATTTGAGTCATATGCTTCACATGAACTAGATTTAAACTTGAATTTGAAGAGAGTTTGTAGATGTAAAGAAATCCAGAGCTTTGTTTAACTATCACATTATTGATTAAGAAAATAAAATAAAAATTATTAAATTAGATTCAAATGATGTTTTAATATAAATAATAATTTTTAAATCTTGCTCAAATCCTTATTGTCTTTTGACTACATGATTAGGGTTGTTAAAATGACTCTTTGTTCGTGAACAGCTCATGTTCGGCTCGTTAAGCAAACGAGACGAACATGAACACACTTTTTGAGCTCGAAATATAAACGAGCGGAACACTCTCTCGTGTTGGGCTCATTTACACACCTACCTCCAAGAGAAGGTTCAGCATATCAATCAATGGCTTCAATCTTTATGAAACTCTTTGATTGTCACTTTCAGGCCATGCCACTTTCTCGCTTATAAGAAAGATTGATCTAATCATCATTAATAGCCTTCGTACATTTATTTGTATGCTGAGTTATCTACTATCAAAGAAATGAATACATGTCATTTGATGGGTGTTTTGAGGTATTTTGTCATAGTAATCAAAATGTCAATCTAAAAAATTATAATTTGAGTCATATGCTTCACATGAACTAGATTTAAACTTGAATTTGAAGAGAGTTTGTAGATGTAAAGAAATCCAGAGCTTTGTTTAACTATCACATTATAGGAATTAAGCAAATTTGTGTTGGTCATAGCTGGCGTAAATCTAATACAAATCCAACGATATTTGAGGTTTATGTCGGATGTCGTCTGATTTATTTTGCGGGTAAATCGAGGGTCGATAATTATAGTTTAGCCCATTTTGCGTCTAAATATTTCGACGCAAAAGATTTGCGACGGTTCATATTTCCGCCAGATTTTTTTAGGCTACTTGTGCGTCTAATTTAGCGTTTGAGAACATCGGCCGATAATATTATCTGTCGGATTACCATAACTTTTGCGATGTAAAATATCGAAGAACTGTAGAATTATTGTCAATTTAGCGTTGGATTATTCGATGCAAAACCGACGCGAATCAAATGCAAACTTGGAGCACAAATATATATATGCAATTACATTTCCACTATCTATACGTAATAAAAAATTCACATATCAACCACATTTATCCAGCCATATCAGCACAAATCAAAACTCAAATATATATCATTAATGAAAATTAAGTTACTGTAACAAATTGTCCCAAATATAAATAATAAAATTAACAAAAAATTTCAAAGTAAATGTTCAAACTAATATTGATAAATAAAAGAAAACATAAAAAAAAAAAAACTACTTATCATCTCCCTCATCTTCCTTCTCCTCCTCAACCTTTGTCATTGGCCGCTTACCCCGGCGATCTACTAAATTCTTTGACATGTGTGCTATATATGTAAAAGCCCCCGATGTTGGTCGTCTATCATTTGGTCACGCAACTAGCAGAGCTTTTTGTTCATTATAGCGACCTGTCTGGCAAGGGCCTCTTGATCTGACTGTGAGGAGTTCAAGGAACTAAGTACTGGACCACATGAGACATTGGCCTTGAAGGTTATGTCATTCATACCAAATTCATAAACCCTCTCCTTCTTCTTCCCCACCATCTGATTTCAAAGCTCGTACTTGGATTACACAACGGTAAACTGACTATCATTGCTGCTGGCTGAAGTATGGGCTTGAGTAGCCAAGCACCTCTCCGGGAGCTGCTCAAACTCCTCCTGTAAAAATTAAAACCAATGTTTAATTCACACTTTTAATAGTAAGAGTCAAAATGAAGTTTTGAATTTTTTCTTATACTTATAGCAACCCGCAGAGAATGCTCTAAGACTCACAATTGTGAGTTCTTTTCGTTATGAATATAATTTGTTATACATCTAAGCCCTCAAATTACAAATATTCATTTACAACATAGATATAGCTTTATAGATCAATGCAACTATTACAGAAAATAAAAATTAATCAATATTGATAAATATTTACGGTCAACATTACTTGTTCAAGCAGATATAGGGATCTCTAAAGTCTCATCAGTTGACAACATGAATTCAACAATTAACATTCTCATCTATATCACAATCACTTTGAACAATAGAACCGATGTATTACTCTAATACTTCGACCAACTAACATGAATTCTCCTAATGACATTCCCATCTATATCAATGTCAATTTGAACAATAGTTCAATTGCATTAATCACCAGTTCAGCCAACGAACTTAAATTCTACAAATAAAATCCCCATCTAACACCTAAACTAATGTATATACATATCTAACACTCAATACTTATATATATAAATAGCTAGATTCTCATACATATTACTCAATACTTATGTATATGCATAGCTAACACCCAAAATTCATTGCATAAGGAGATTTGCATACATACTATTGAAATTTTATTTATATACGTATCTAATACCTAAACTTCAAATCTTACATACATTCTGAGATATCTAAAATGTTCACTACTTCTAAACATATCTAACCGCGGTATTTGTGCCGCAGAAACAATGTTCACTACTTCTAAACATATCTAACCGCGGTATTCAAATTTGTGCAGCAGAAACACGATATCTAAAACATTCAATACTTTTAAGGATTTGATTATCCATTACCACATAAATGGGGCATTTACATTTATAGTATCCCAAACTTTCATATTTACCTATCTCACACAAAAATTTTCATAATTGCAAACATCATATGAAAAATAACACTCATTATCATCTTTTAATAGTCAAATTCATCTTTTCATACATAGGTAAAGTGCTACATGTGTAAAAATGAAAGTATAGATGTGAGATAGGTAAATCCTTAAGTATTAGGTGTTATATATATGTAATTTTCCCTAAAAAATATCATGAAAAGCATACCTTCCTCAATAGTTTATGGTAGGCGAGAAATATGGGAGTTTTGGTGGCCTTTGTAAGTCGCGATCTTGTCGTTGCCTTCTCGGCCAGCTCTAATGATGGTGATTGTATCACAAATGTTCGTTCACAAAGGCGAGGCTTTTTAGAGATACGGAGAGATGCGCGAGCGTTTCGTCGAAGATGGGCAAGACAAAAAAAAAGGAGGAGGTCGTAAGCGAAGGTTCCAGGAATGGGGGAGTAGAAATGAGTTTTGAGTGCAGGAAATGAATTTAATAGCATTTGAGTCAGATTTGCGTCTTCACAAAGGCGAGGCTTTTTAGAGATACGGAGAGAGATGCGCGAGCGTTTCGTCGAATATAGGCGAAACAAAAAAAGGAGGTCGTAAGCGAAGGTTCCGGGAATGGGGGAGTAGAAATGAGTTTTGAGTCAGGAAACAAATTTAATGGTATTCGAGTCAGATTTGCGTTTCTAACAATGGAGTTTGCTACGGAATTTGCTTCGACTTTCCGTTTAGACGCATTAAATACGTGATTGCGTCAATTTCTTCAATGCAAAGTCCATCACAATCCAACATCTCAGTTCGACGTTGAATTCAGCCTTTGCGTCAAATTGTTCGCCACAAATCAGACGCAAAATCCGACACAAACATCAAAACATGATTTTCAACGTTAATCAGTAAAAAATCTGACATTAATATTTGCGTCAGAAAAAACCGATGCAGGTATCAGATGCTACATGTTAATCTCCCACGTGATTGCGTCAATTTCTTCAATGCAAAGTCCATCGCAATCCAACATCTCAGTTCGGCGTTGAATTCAACATTTGCGTCAAATTGTTCGCCACAAAGCAGGCGCAAAATCTGACGCAAACATCAAAACCTGATTTTCGACGTAAATCAGTCAAAATTTTGACATTAATATTTGCGTAAGAAAAAACCGACGCAGATATCGGATGCTACATTTTAATCTCCCTTAGTGTCGATGCTAACAATCATTACCAACGATTGTTTTCATCTAATTGGCATTGTCCCACCTTTGTTGTCATCACCTGTTCACAATCATCCAACCACTATTATTTTATAACATTCATCTAATTGCCATCATCTCATCAATTTCACCTCATTATTATCACATGACCATCATAGCCCAACATTCATTCTTTGATCGTATTGCCCAACTGACATCTTTCGACAGCTATCACTTGGCCATCAAATGTCTACTGTAGTCACTTGATCATCATCTCATAATTATTAGCATTTGGAAACCATCACTGTTTTTTTCATGAAGATCATCAACACCTTATAAACATCCATTATAATCACAGAAGATCAAGTAAATGTTATCAACTTAGTAATCTTACACTCTCTTATCATGGGATACAACATATTTTTTTAATCTCATATACATACTAGGTCATTTCAACAAGGCCAGAACCTATGTTTATTTTTTCTTTGAGACACTTAAAAGACTTTGATATCTCCTTTGAAATACTTTGTTTGTTTGTGTGCACTAGATCTTCACCCAAAGCTAAGATATTTTTTCTCATTCTATCATTACAAATATTTTAACACGCAACAATATAAGATATTATAAAGGCATTGAACTCAAGACTCTTTAATTGCATGTCTATGCTCCCAATTAACATGCTAAAATGAGTTGCATAATTATCTTTAATGTGTCCCCAAAAAGTTTGTATTCCCAGGCACAAATCTCAAAACATTTTGTGCAAGAAACATTCCAAATTCATTCACGATCATCTGAGCCTTGAATTTAACAAACTTATAGCCAAACTTAGCGTCTCCACAAAACAAACTCAATGACACAAAAAAATGATCTAATGCAATTTCAAATTCAGCCTAGATCGAACACTTAAAGTAAATCAAATAGCTTTAATGCATCAATTAAAAGACTAAATGATCTTAAAAATTGGCATGCTTCTTGTTAAATTGAATGTTTCAACGAGAGGAATCCAATGAGCCCACGATCATTCAACTTTGACATCATTAAGACGCCTAAATGTTGAAAAAACTATCTAAATTCAACGGATCAATATGGTCTGTCCGATATAGTGTTTTGGGAAACTAATCAAACTTAACTCTTGAAACTTATCACTGGTCCAAAAGTTCAGTGTCGGCCACCAAGGTTACCGTCAACCACCATTAATAACTTACTACCACCAACTACAATCACTGTAATAATTAGCTACAACTTTTATAGCCAACTAAAATTATTATAGCCATCAACATCAACTTCTTATCTTTTCTTCCTTAACACAAGAGAGGTGTTAAGAATTATCTAGCACGCATGAATCTTATATTTTACTTCACCATTTAGTAAGATGTACACAAATATTACAAATCAATGAGATAATATGTAATGACATAAAACCCAAACTCTTCTACTAAATTAATGATTTGTAAGACTTCTCCTCTAAAATAAAAGTCAAATGACAAAGCCGTGTTGTTGATTGATCAAGGCATTGCGAGATTTGGTCAATGAGTAATGAGTACGTATTTAATTATTGTAAAATTTAAGTACTGAAATATAAACCTTAAGGGTGGCTTACACACATACCGCACAATTAATGTATATTTATATCAGTATTATAAATAAATACCAAAACTTAAATATCATATATGTCAATTCTTGAGATTTATATTGTGTGTATACATATTCTTATTTTAATTAATTAGAGACAACTAGCCATTTGGTTGGAGAAAATATTCAAGATTCAATGATCTCACGAGGAAGTTGAATCATGACGTAATAAATATATAAATTATTTACGCATATCTTAAATAATAGAATAATAATATATCATCATATTTTTTTATTGATTCAATTAATAATATTTTAATTTAATATAATATTTTTGAATATTTTGAGATATAATTTAAGTAAAAAGTTTAAGGCATTATATTTTCACAAATCTTAATTTAAATATAAAATACTAAAATTAGATAATATTTGAACTAAAGGATTGTTTAGAGATTGGACCGATTCACCTCTTTGCCGGTTCAAACCACGAGCGATTATTGCGTGCGGAGAGCGCACGCAGCTCCGCACGCAATAGTTACTCAAACCACATGCTATGCAGACGTAATTCGAAATCGGTCAGCGTTCCATATAAAACGAAGACGACCATTTTGAAGCCCGCCTGCCCATACCTCACCTCCAGCTACCGGATCTTCGCGTCTCTCTTCGTTTTCAATGGCCGGTTATCCCCAGGGCTCCGGTAATCCTTACGGCGCGCCACCGGCAAATCCATACGGATCAGCCCCTCCGCAACCATATGGAGCCGCACCTCCGCAATCCTATGGCGCTGCGCCGACGCAGCCGCACGGTTACGGCGCTCCCCAGCCATCGGCACCTTACTCTAAGCCGGAGAAACCAGGTAAGATACATGGAGGCGGCGGCGCAGGTGGATACGATTCACAGCCTTACGGTTACGGCGCTCCCCAGCCATCGGAGCCTTACTACAAGCCGGAGAAACCAGGTAAGACACATGGAGTTGGCGGCGGCGTTGGATACGAGCAACCTCCTCCAGCAGCAGGGTACGGGGCTGCGACCCCTTTCGCTGCGCTTCTGCCGTCGCAATTCCCGCCGGGAACCGACCCGAGCTTGGTGGCGTGCTTCCAGATTGCTGATCAGGACGGGAGCGGCCTAATAGACGACAAGGAGCTGCAGCGTGCTTTGTCTTCTTATAACCAGGGCTTCAGCCTCCGCACAGTTCACCTTCTTATGTACCTTTTCACATCGTCCAACATCCGCAAGATTGGTGAGATTTCCCCGCATATTTTCTTTCTCAAAACCCTAATTAGTGTTTTGTCCGGTTTCATATTGTTATGCTTGGGAGTTTGAAAGGAGAAATCTCGTGCTTACGGTTTTAGATTCCGTTCTTCGGCGCAGTTAATTTCAGGCTTTGCAAAGAAGTTCCGTCCCTTTCTTCTGTGTGTGTTCCATGAAGATGCTTCTTTGCTTCAATCGGTTTATTTACTGCAGCGATGGGCTTTGATCCCTGTTTTATTCTAAGTTGAATTAACCTAATTTGCGATTTTGATTTGATTATATTGACTCAATTTCTTTGTTTGATGGTTATGGAGGTGAACTTGTACTATAAAGCATGCGTTTGTTCAGTGCTGGAGGTAGCCTCGATCGAGCATTGCTTAGTAGAATACAAGTAATGAGTTAGCCGGTTAAAAAAAAATACGGTCGGGGGTTTCATTTTGATATAGTTCAACAATCCTTGGGTTTCTTTTTATCCGCAGCTAAAAGGGCAATGCTAATTTCACAACGCTAGTAGTCTACCTGACTTGCCGGCAGGTGCGGGATATTTTGTCCAGCTCGCTGTCTTCTTTAATTTTTTTTTCCAGATCAAATTGAAATGTCAAATCTAACCAAAATTGTTTGATCCGGTCCAAAGGATTATGCAAAAGATGATTGTTACGCTCTTGGCTCGTCATAAGGGATTATTCGTCTATGTATAACACTAAGCCACCACTCTTCTATGATTTTGTTGATTTTAGTTGGTTTTAATTGATTTTAATCCACGACCTACTTAGATTTTTAGGAGCAACTTGCTATTTTTAATGCCTGGAAAGGGTGATCTGGCTAGAACCCTGATCCAAGATCTGCAACAGAAGCATAGGTGAGTCAGTCACTTATGCTTTGCTTATGCTGGTCGGGTCCGTTAGTACATAATACTATAATCCCTACATAAGTGTACAAATGAATTAGTCTCATGAAATTGATGTGGTTTTGCGAGTTTGTATGCTTTGACTCATTTTATTTGCATGTCCATGTTAATACAAATATGACCAATTATAGTTAAATAAAGGTTTTTCTGTAAAATCTAAAAGGAACAACTTATAATAAGTCATTTAAATCATCATTAGCTTTATCCAAAGTATTTGACGTTGGCTTTAGGAATCTTTTTTTTTTCCTGTTAATGAGGTTTTAATTTTAGTTTGTACAAACATTTCTTACAACTCATACCTATGTTGTCTTTGCTTGTTGCCAAATCATTCCATTCTAATTCTATCAACTCGCCCCATTATTCCATCTCATATTTTGTGCTTCTAACATAACTATTCATCACTTTATCAATATTAACTTTATCGCACATCCATCTTAAAATCCTCATTTCTATTAAACTTTAATTGATCTTCGATAGCTCATTTATTGGCCAATAAGTAGTTATATCATAGCTAGGCATGTTGTGGTTTATTAATTTTAGAAAGACTCAATGATCTTCTCTTATCAAGTTATACTCTTAAAATACTTATGCATTTTAATCTACTAAATTTAATTTTATAACTTATATCCTCATTTTACCCACATTTTCTTGTATGATCATACAAAATATTTGATGTTATGACAATTAGTTATCACTTAATCTTTTAATAATATTAGTTCATGCACCTAGGTTTTGTTTTGCTATTTTACTAGTATTTAGCTTTATTTCAAATAGAAAAAAAAATTATTATTTTAGCTTTTCATTTTTCTGTTTATGAAAAAATATATATGTGATTAAAATACACCAAGTGCTTCAATTTTATATTTGATAAACATATTTTCTAAATAAAAGTAAACTTAGATACAATCTTTATGTTTTGAAATCTTTCTCACCACTATATAACTGGTAATATCTATCATTATTGTTGGATCTTGTTCTGTTCGTAAGTTATCCTTGAAAGGTAAGAGAGATATAGAATAAGAGAGAGAAATTTGCTAAGCTCAATTGAGTATTTCAAAATACATAACCTATAACTCAGACAGTGGGAAATCTACTAAGTATGCTCAAATAGGTATACCAAAAGTTCATAATCAATGACTCTGACGACTCAAAACCCTCAACTTTCCCTAAAATCTTTTATTTATAGATATAAATCTTTGGTCTCGTGTATTATAGGTAAAGCTATAAATGAGCTGCACTTATAATAAATATAGAAAAATCATGTAGCCTTAATATTTACTCGAACTTCGACTTAAGAGCTATTTGATTTGTTGCAAAGGAGGTATTCTATTCCAAATATAGGTGCTTTGAAAATTTGGGTTTTTAGATTGAGGAAAGATAATTTCAGTGTAAAATTGCAATGAATTTAGTATTTTTTTAGTGTAGGGCGATTTTCATGCACATTGCAATTTACGGTTGTTGGCAACGCCATTGTAGTCGCCGCAAGTATTGCGATCATTGCAACCACCACGAACAACCACTTTCTAGTTGCCTCTGTTGACCACCACTGCTAACCACCACTAGCTAGCCTTTTTCATCTGTCGATCGTTGTCCCCTACCCCGTTTCACGTCCTCCTTCGCTATGGTCATCGATCTTCTACCATCAACAGTTGTCGGCCACCACTGTCCATCACTAGTCGATTGATATCATCGGCTGCTCTTCAAGGATTTTATGGTTCATTCATTTCTTATTGTAGTCACCCAAATACAAAATTATAAATTCATGTGTTTGTGGTGTATTCATCCAAACAACAATACTCACTTATTACTTCACTATATTTACTTTTCACTACATTTTTTTACAATCCAAACAATTTCTTAGACTAAGTGAAATAGTTGGTCTTTAGGACTAATCGGTTGTTCAATGTAGATGACCATCGAGTGTTAGGGTCCTTAGGTCCTCTTAAAGTATTGGTTAAATGTCCTCTCCATACATAGTAGGTTATCATTCGGTGAGGTGATTCTATCCCTTGGCTCAGATGAGTTCTCCTCGAGTTTTTTATGGATGTTTTCTCTTTTAATCCACCCGCGAGTCTGCTAGTCATCAACAAAATGATGCCAATGGCTTGGCTATGTGAGTTGCTCTGAGAATCTACTAGCAAGTCTGTTGGTGAATCCATTTTGTCTGAGTTTGTATAGAGCCTAGTTTTGATGAGTATCCTTGGAATCCAGATAGCAAGTTTGTCTCGTAGTTTTACTTTTAGGTGGATTCACCCCTAGGATATACAATTTTTGCATGATTTATATTTCTTATAACTTTGCTTAATTTTTGATCCACACCTTTTCTCTGTGATGCTCACTAAACCAAGCTTGTAAAAGAAAGAAGAAAAATTTAGTTGAAAAAAATTTTTGTTCCTTCATAACTTCTTTGGGAAACCTAGCTCTCATCCTGAAAAATTTTCTGTTAATTTTAAAAGCATTGCAAACATCTTCTTATGGATCACTTGGGGCATCTTCCTTGGGAACTTTTACAATCATCAAAATTATTAGTGTTATGATTCTCTTATTTAAAATTATATACCTTCGTGGATACCTTTCATGAAACTACATATTTCTTTTTAGTCCCTTCCCTCCTAGCTCTCTTTGTCATCAATTTCTCTTACTTCAGATGCTCCTTTTTCTACCTCCATGCCTCTACAGGCATACTCTCAATAATATTGACCTCTACCCACAACACTTTCAAGAAATTGTCAGATTCAATTGTGCCATCCACCATTTGATGAGCCCTCTAACTTGTAAAGAGATAAAAGATAACTTACTGCTCATCTTATTCACTCCATGTTTCATTTGATCAGTTATCTACTTTGTTCTACACTTTTTCATTCCCTCTATTTAATCCTTACGCATTTCTAGATTCATTATTTAGATGGATATGCACTATGGATGTTGAATTGGATTCTCTTCTTAGTCTTCATATTTATTTGGTTGTTCATTCTCCAGAGCCCCAACCAATAGCTTCTCGTTGTGTTTTCACTGTTAAATTTTATCATGATTGATCGATATATCGCCGTGAAGTACTCTCATCCATAGTCTATTCTGACACATTCTGGCTTGTTGCATGATTAAATACGGGTAGAATTCTTTTATTTACAGTTTTCAATCATGGTTGGACTATGCTGCAAATGGATATTAATGAGTTATTTTATGATGAATTACAATAGTAGTTTATACGGAGCAACTTCTTGGATATGTTGCTGAAGGGAGAGTTGTTTGTATCTACTTTGGAAGATTAGTTGTGGCCATAAACAAAATCCATGAGCCTGATTTGACGAACTTTGTGAAGTCTTGCATGACGTTTGTCTTCATAGCAGCACAACATATTACCATATCTTTACCATGTTTACTCTTGAATATTCTATCATACTAGTTATTTATGTAATCATCGTCTTTCTCATTGGGCGTGACTATGACAACTTTGAGGCAAAACACTCAGAAGATCCTATGATATTATACTAGTCCTCAAACCTCATCATTCATTATAATTATTTCTCAGGTCCAAAGGAATTCACCTCATTATTCTACAGCCTTCAGAACTGGAGGGTAATCATGCTATATTTTTACTGAAGTTTATATGCAGCAGACTTACTCATCCATTTGGGTAGTTCATAGTGTTAATAAATGGGCATGACTGCAGGCTATCTTTGAGAGATTCGATCGTGATCGCAGCGGCAGGATTGATGCGCCGGAGCTACGAGAAGCCCTTCTTAGCCTGGGCTATGCAGTCTCCCCTGTTGTTCTTGATTTGCTTCTTGCCAAGTTCGACAAAAGTGATGGCAAGTACAGGGCGATCGAATATGATAACTTCATCGAGTACGATCCTTCTCGTTCTCCTCACTCTTCTTTTCAGAATATTCATTTTTTTTTAAACAATTTTGCTAATATAAATGTTTTGGATGTTCTATTTTGATTTACAGATGCTGCCTCACTGTCAAGGTACTGCCTCTAATTTTTTATGAGGATTTACATACATTCCATACTATTTTTATGTATGTACATATTTGCCACATAAAGTTTGATGTTTTTACATGTAACACTTTAGTTTCTTAATCACTTCAAAACTTATGTATGAAAATGTGTATTCTAATTTAAAGATGTTAGTATTGATGGTATTTTTTGATGTAATGTTAACAATTTGAGTGTTATATAAGCTAATATTAATATGTAGGTGTTAGATATGTAAACACATAAGATGAATTACATGGTCTGTAAGTAAATCTTTATTTATGTAAGGAAAATTTACATGCATACCACTCAATTCTTATGTGTTTACATATCTCACACTTAAACTTCAATTTTAACATATATTCCACTTTATCTATGCATGAAACCGTGTATTTCACTTTTTGAAAGTAAAAAATAGTGACAATTTTTATGTGATATGAAAGGTCTGGGTGCTATAAATGTAAAGAGTAAACTTTAGGTGTTAGACATGTAAATACATAGGAATTGGGTGTTATGTATGTAAATGCCCTTTTTTTTGTCATCTGATCAGGAATTTTGTCTGTTGTCGATGGAGTTTAGTAATTGACTGTGTTGTGATGTAATTTGGCAGGGTTTGACAGATAAATTCAAGGAAAAAGACACAACGTACACTGGATCTGCAACTTTCACCTATGAATCCTTCATGCTTACAGTGCTCCCATTCCTCATAGCCTAGTGGTATTGGCTTGCAGCCTTTGGCTTGCGTACGATCTTTGAGTTGCTTTAGGTTCGCTGAGCTTGTTTTGAGTATGCTTCATTTATTTCATGTCATGAACTTTTATGACACTCTTTGTTGCATTTTGGACTTTGTGTTCGTTGTTTTGAGATTATTATGTGATGCAATTTTTATTTTAAAGTATGTAATTGTGTTGAGGTCATGTGTTTAGTTTATTTTACTAAGTGGTTCGGTGTTTTGTTTTTGTTTATTATGTCTTGAGTTTAAGGCTTAACTTACAGGTACGTGTCAATCAAAAAAAATGTTGCATTTCAGTGAAATATAAGTAAACCTTTGTAAAATAGATCCCATCTGTTTGACTGCATTTGCTTTGTATGTTATATTTATCATGGAGATGCACCATGAGGCAAAATAATTTTACTTTTGCCAGTCTTCTTTCAATCATTAGATAAAAAACAAGGGCATTCACATACATACCACCTTCCATGGGGCATCAAAAGGGACCCTGGATCACATTCTCGCATGAGGGTGTGATAATTACCACCACCGTATTGTTTAGTCCTAGCGTAGTAAGGACAGGTCGACCCTACTAGACATGGACTTGCCACCTATTGGGAGTGGGATTCACTCCTAGTCATCCTTTGGTTATATATTTGTATTTCTGAGATTTCAGGTTAGTTTTGGGGTTTTGTTTTATGTCGAGACAGTCGTTGATACTTCCGAATTTTTTTCTTTTAGAGTTGTATCTAAGGTCGAATGGTTATCTGACTGTATCCCATTTTGAAGTGGTGATCATCAATTTCCCCTTCCGTAGCAACCATCCCTTCGTTGCCACCATCCTTCCTTCTTGTTGAAGCAATCGAACAACAGATATGGACTATTTTTTTTCAGTTTCATTTGCTTCAACCTTCCTTCAACCTTCCCAAATCCCCAAATCCGTAGTCCTCGCTATTGTTTTCTTCCCAACCGCCCTCACCACCTTTCGTTGCTACCTGCATGTTGTTTTGGGGTTTTGTTTAATGTCGAGGCAGTCGTTGATATTTTGGAATTTTTTCTACTAGAGTTGTATGTAAGATTGAGTGGTGTTCTGACTGTATCTCATTCCGAGGTGGTGATTATCATCGATTTCCCCTTCCGTAACAACCATCCCTTCGCTGCGACCATCCTTCCTCCTTGTTGAAGCAGTCAAACAACATATATGGACTATTTTTTTTTTCAGTTTCATTTGTTTCAACCTTCCCAAATCCGTAGTCCTCGCTATTGTTTTCTTCCCAACCGCCCTTACCACCCTTCGTTGACTCTCCCAGCTGTCTTTACCACCCTCTATCATTGTCGACTTGCTTTCCAACCATTCCCCTTGCTGCTTCCAACAATCCACAACCCTTTCAGTTGTCCTTATCACCCCTTGCCACTGCGGATCTACAATCTAACCCTCTCTCTTGCTGTTTTCGGTCACATACAACCTTTCCAACCACTCCTACTTGTTGCTCGTCGCTCACCCCATTCCAACCACCGGCCATTATTTTCGGACTACTTAGCCGCCCTCTACAACCCACAATTCAAATCTTAATGTCAGTTTATATTGTGTTATTGTTATTTTTTATTTTATTGTGTATTTATTTGTAGTCGCTTATTTGATTTTTTTCTGTAATAATACTTGCTTTTCTATTGTTGTTTGTGTTAACTCTGGTATTATTTAATATCGGAGCTAGCTTAACTCTAGTCCTGTTTTAGGTTACCAAATGCCCCACTACTTAAACCTAGCTCCACCCAAAATTTTTCATTCTCACTCTAAATTGCCCTATATTCATTCTTCCACAGACCCAAATCCAAACCCAAACCCTAAACCCTAACCACGCCACCAATTTCGATCAGGAGCTTATCTTGGAAGAGATACAATGGCGAGTTCTTCAGTGCTACAACAGCTTGATGAAAATTGTGGAAAGGACCCATGGACGGGCAAGATTGGTCTGAGAGAGAGAGGAACACCTTAATCCCTTATTTAGGGTTGATCCCAATGGAGAAAAAGATAGGACACATTGCTTTGGGATTTGATATCTGAGGAGACCGAGAGTTAAAATGTCAGTTAGAGGATAAAGAGACTCGGGAGTGAAAGTAGACATACTAGATTTTGAGGAGAGAATGAATCCAAATAAGCTAATAGAGTGCATGTAGACTGTTGAGAGAGTTTTGTTAAACAAGGATGTGTCATATGATCAAAAAGTGAAGCTTGATGCTATCAAGATAAAGAAGAGCATCTCATTGCAGTGAGAGAACCTGAAGAGGGAGATAAATAGAAAAGAACAGAGCATGATTACTACTTGGGAGAATATGAAGAGGGAGATGCGACAACACACACTACTGTTAGGATCTTTTCTTGAGGCTCCACCATTTACAGTAGAGGCGCCCATCAGTGGATGAGTACCAATGGAGTTTATGCAACTTAAGTTGAACTGTGATCTGACGGAGCTAGAGGAACATACGATAGTGAGGTACTTGAAAGGACTAAAGCTCGCCATCTGTAAGGTGGTTCATCTACAACCTTATTGGTCTTTGGGTGACTTTCAAACCTTAGCACTGAAGGTGAAGAGAGCAGAAACAGATGCACCCATCATCTTTTAGACAACTACTCATAACTGGAGGCATCAATAGGAGCACACCTAAGGTAGTTGAGAAGTATGGTCGGGAACGATAGATCTGCCCAGAGTGGGAGGAAACCTAAGAAGAGTATCACTCCCAATATAGTCCCAACAAGGAAATGCTTCAGATGTCATTGTTATGGACATATCGCTTTTGGTTGCCCTATGAGCCAAATTGTGTCCTTCATTGAGTGGGGTGCAGTGGAGGAAGTGATTGACGAAGAGGCTGCTGAAGAACAGGTGAGGAGTACCAACTCCCACAAGATGAGGGCGAGATACTTGTGGTTCGACGGGTCCTTCAGACTGTGGCTACAAGGAAGGAGCAGTGGCTTCACCATAATGTATTTTATATCTGGTGTATTATGAAAGGAAAGACATGCAACCTCATCATCGATGGAGGTAGCAATAAGTATGTGACATCTATACAGATGGTGGACAAGTTAAGCCTCACAACTCAAAAACATTTTTAGACATGTTCCTTAACATGGTTGAAGAAGAGGAACTTGGTCAGCATTGATAGGAAACACCTCGTGAAATTTTCAATTCGGAACCAGTTGCAAGATCAAATGTAGTATGACGTTGTGCCCATGGATGCCTGTCACATCCTATTGGGGAGACTGTGACAGTTTGACCGCAGGACTTAGCATGACAGACACATGAACAACTACTCGTTTACCAGGGATAGAAATCACATAGTTCTCTTACTTTATGAAGTCCAAGGTTACATGTGTTCTTATCAATGGAGAAGCGCCAATGAGATCGGCTTTGGTAATGATAGAGGATAGCAGGACAGAGGCGTCAATTGCAGGCATGGGGTAGCCACTGCCTCTGCCACGCCATCCTCTATCATCACCAAAATTGTATTCGGGTAGCCACTAAATATAGCCACATGTAACCTTTCCAGCAAACCCTACTTGTTGTCGCTCTTCATCCACCCAATTTTAGCCACTCACCACTACTTTCAACCCACCTAGCCGCCCTCCACCACCCATGGATCGAGCCCTAGTATGAGTTTGTGTTATGCCATTACTATTTTCTGTTTCAGTGTGTTTTGTGGTTGTAAACGCCTATTTGTATTTTTTTCGTCAGAATATTTGCTTTCTTATTGTTGTATGGGTCAAATCTGGTATAATTTGGTATCAAAGCTAACATACCTTAGTTCTGCCCTTGGGTTACTGAAAGCCCCACAACCTAACCCTATCTCCACCCACAATTTTTCTTTATCACCCTACATCACTCCATGCACATTCTTTCACCGACCTAAACCCGAATTCTAACCACACCACTAAATAGACAATTATCAGAGACCTGATTAAGAGCTTATCATGAAAGAGATATAGCGACAGCTTTGTTGTGTGTTACAATAACTCAATGAAACTGTGGAAAGGGAGAGGTCACCATTGAGTGTAGTAGTGAGATCTGATGAGGAGATAAAAAGAGAGAGTAACACCCAAATCCCTTTGGTAAGGATGATTCCAGTGAATAATAAGACATGCCATCTTTATTTTGTAATATCAAAGTTGGATGATCAATGGATGCCTGCCACATCTTGTCGGGGAGACCGTGGTGGTTTGATCGCATGACTGAGCTAAAGGGCACAAGAACATCTATACATTCACTAAGGATGGAAAGCATACCGTTCTTTTACCCTTTATGGAGTCTGAGGTTGTAAGTGCTTTTGCTAGTGAAGAAGCTCCAATGAGATCGGTTTTGGTGATGATAGGGGACAACATGGCAAAGACATCGATTCCAGACATGGGGCAATCACTACAAAGAGACATCATGATCGATATCTTACTGTCATTGCCGATGTCTTTAGAGAGAGTTCATTATGTTCCCACATTAGATGGGGATGAGGCAACCTGAGACTACTTTTGGAAGACTCTATAGAGTACACTTGGCACGGAGGCCTATTTCAGTTTAACAATGTATGCTCATATGGTTGAATCAATATGGATGGATGATCGTTAGTGAGGAAAACTCCTATGGTATTTTGGGGTAAAGTGTTGTCGACAAAAGGATACATGTGCTTCTAGGGCCACAATCAATGATTCTTCAACTTCGGGAGGTTACAATAGCTCTATCATCTTGAAGGTGCAGACAAAAGCTTTGACTAATGAGATCAATCCCCCCTAACTCCAGGAGAGTAACACGGGGCATCAAAAGGGACCCAGGATTGCGATGCTGCATGAGGGCACACTAATCATTGTGACTGGATTGTTCAGTTTAAGCGTAGGAAGGACTGGACAACCCTCCTAGGTATGGACTTGCCACCTATAGGGAATGAGGTCCACTCCTAGATATTCTAGGGTTATATATTTGTATTCCTGATGTTGCAAGTTCATATTTATTGTTTTATGTTCCGTCGAGATAACTGTTGATCTCTCTGAGGTTTGCTTCTAGGGTTGTATTCATGGACAAGTGATGCTCTGGTTGTATCTTGTTATAAGGTGGTGATTATCTTCAACTTCTCCTTCTGCCGCAACCTTCGCTCTTTTGCCACCGTCCTTCTTACTCCTTGCAACTGTTGAACATCTTTTTAGACTGTTTCTTTGCGGTTTCACTTGTTGCCACCTTTCCGAGCCAGCATCCTCATTGTTGCAACCTTCCCAACCGCCGATGATCTTTCTAAAGCTCTGAGGTTGGTGGGGAGGATTTTCTGGTTTATCGTAGTAGGAGAGCTAGAAACTCCAAGAAGCATGGACGATCATTTGGAACGCCGATGGTCATGTCGACAAGAATCGTACCTTCCATCATCAACACTCAAGTCTTTTATTATTCTGGAGCACTGGGGCACCTCTCAAACTTCTATAATTTTTGTGGTAGCTAAATAAATTGCCAATAATAATAATAATAATAATAGTTACATATATTGATTTGATTCGATGATATTTTGATTTAAACATTCTATTTGCTCAGCATATATGTAAAATGTATAAGTTATTTTCTTTACCTCCCAATTTATATGTATTTTTATCTGTAATATCTGAATTTTACTTTTTTTATTACATAAAAAAATCATTTTATATTACTTCTTATATAATTTTTTTTTACCACATAAATCATTTATATTACATAAAAAATAATTTAATTTTTAACTCAAATACATATTTTCATGTATAAATAAAAATTAAATTTATAGACATTAGATAAATAAGAATTGAGTGGTATGAGTGCCGAGGGGGAGCGAGGGCAAAACATCCACGTTGCTCGCAAAAGCGAGCAATATCAACCCGATCGCTACCGCAAGCAGTTGATAGCGCACGAGCTTCAGTGCAACAGATAATGGCGGGAGCAGCGGTGAGCCCTAATCCCATTCATCCTCCTCCTTCCCTTCTCCCATCCATCAAGCCCAGGGTGATCATACTTGGTGGAACCGGCCGAGTGGGCGCCTCCACCGCCGCCGCTCTTTCTCGCTTCTGTCCCTCCGTCCGACTCTTCTTAGCCGGAAGAAATCGGTTAATCCTGATTACCCAGTTAATTTTTCTATGCAATTGCTTTTCAGGTAGATCTGCTTAAGCTCGTGACTTTCTTTGTAGGGAGAAGGGCGATGCTCTTGCTTCCAAAATCGGGGAGAACACCAAGTTTGTCCAGGTGAACGTCGACGACATCCATAGCATCCAAGCTGCTTTAGAAGGTGCCATATCGTTTGTTATCTGTTTGTGTTTCTCCTGAAGTGTATGTCTGTTCTTGCATGAGACACTTATCTGGGGATTTTTTGCTACAAGGAGGATTTAACTTGAATAGGATTGTAAATCCTGTAAATCTGGATTTATCAAATCTAGATGCTGTTAATTGTTAAACACTGGAAACTGTTTTGTACGGTTGAAGTTAAATCGAGTTTAATACGTTTAAACTGCTTGACAACTTACTTCAGGGTTTAAGTCTATTGGTTTAAGCATGTGTTAAATATCAAATGTTTGTTGTTTTAATCCTCAGTTTTTAATTCCCGACATCATCATCAGTGATGCGCATAAGAAGAGGTTTATTAGTCCCCTTAGTCATCTGTTTAATTTCAGACCTAAAATTAAGCTAAATCATAAGTGGTAAGCTAAGCAAAACAACTACCAATGCAAGGAAAGGTACTGCAAGTTTATTAGCTGTGTCATCAAATCGGATTCCTTCAGTGTGCTCGGGATTGAAATATGAGCTCCAAGTTGTTGCTCTAATGAATTCAGCTCTGATAAAAGATCTTCCAATGTCCAATTTGGCTATGGATCAGCACATGTATGTAAGTTCTCTCTCATGGGACAGAGAGATGTGGCTGCAGTGCTGAATTGTGACTTAAATGACTATGGTTCTAACACCATTTGTTTAAATTACAATAGGTAGCACATACATATTTATTAGAAGCACTTGAGGCATTTTCAGCACAAAAAGATACTAATGTAAAAGAATGCCCACAAAATCATTCCAAGCTTTCGCATCCTAACACAATAGCATTTTAGAGTAATCAATATTATTTGAATAACATATCGAGATCCACCCTCTTAATTTTACCCCCTTTTCAGTCAGATCTTTGTTACATTTTAAAAATATTAATAAATTAAAGTGGTAAACTAAGAAGGTGTAAACAAATACTTAATTTACGGCCAACTACAAACAAACAACTATGTAGAACTGAAAAGTAGTTTAAAATAACATTTTCTAAAAACAACAACTCAATGACAATCACATCCAAAAACTCGATCAAATTATTCTTAATAATATTTTTCAAATAATGCTACAAAAGAAAAAAATACAAAACACAATTAAGAAAGCTGAATTTTAACTAATCCATAAGTTTTGTTAAGCACCTGAATATTTATAAACTATAATACTAAAATTGAAAATAATAACTTTCTCCATCCTTTGAGTACTTCCTATAAATTGGTGGCAATTATATCTCATACTTTTTCTCGAAATCTCTCCCAATTATCACATTCACGGTTCATCATTGATCTCAGCCTCACCAAAAATATCTTGTTGCATCTCCGTCTGAGACATTAAAATATATAGCAATCACAAATTCTTCTTGTAAGAAATTGAGACATGCGACTTATCACCCGAAACCTTTCCTTTCAAATCTCAAAAGTTCTCTCGACTATGTCAAAAGTTCTCTCGACTAAGTTTTGTGGCTATGTATGATAATGATTGTACAACTCTTGTGCTCTTGATTATATGTGGAACGCGCTTGTGCGCTATTTATTTAATGATATTGATATCCTCTAACGGCGCTAAAGTCTTATCAATGTTTATTCTGAGACATTTTTCAAGTTTTTCTTCCCTACTGACCATTACAACGCCCACTTAAATCAACTGCAGACTTCTTGTTGTAGCCCAAGCTCTCACCTATTGAGATATTATCCATTTTGGCTTAATGACTTCACAGTTTTGTCGCGATGGTGTAGCTTCCAAGGAGATCACCCATCTTGAGAGCACCCCTATGTGAGCACACGTAACGTTGGAGTTTCTATCAAAACTACAACTGTTACATTAAAATGTATCTCGATGTTTAAGAACTTGACTTCATTCTACTTTAAGTTGTTTCACAACCTCGTCGACTTGAGTAACTGTCATACTTGTTAATTTTTTTAGCCCATAATTATCCACCAGATAGATATTCCTATCTTGAGATAGGCGTAAGTCTCTGATACCATTTGTAATAGTTCGAAATCTCACAGTTTTGTCTTATTTGTATAACTTCCTAGGAGGTCACACATCCTAGAAGTGCTCCCACACAATACACTTAACTTTTGAGTTTATGATGAAATTTCAACTGTCACACCAAAAAACTACTCATTGCTTAAGAGCTTAGCTTTATTTTACTTCAAGAGTTTTACAATTTGCCCTACTTAACCCACAAGTCCCAGATTCATCTACTCAGTAGATAGGATTTTAGAGATGACACCTATAAATTCAAGAAATGGCTCCGACCATGTATCGTGTTGTCCCATTTTGGGTTCAAGTAGTGGCTCCCATAGTATAACACTTTATTATGTACGACACTTAGTTATTATTTTCAGGCTGGTGTAATGCTCTGATACAATTGGTAACGGTTCAAACTCTTACCCAGTGAGATCTTTTCCACTTTGGGCTAATGGACTCACTGTTTTGCCCCAATGGTGTAACTTCTCACGAGGTCAACTATTATGAGAGTACTCCCATGCAACCACACTTAACTTTGAAGTTTCTGTTGAAACTACAACTGTTACACGAAAATATGTTTCGATGTTTAAAAGTTTGATTTTATTCAGCTTAAAAGGTTTCGTAATCTCCCCCACTTAAGTAAGTGACGTCCTCGTCAGTGCTTTTAAACCCAAAATCATCCATCAAACATAAGATTCTAGAGGTGGCCCCTACAAATTCAAGAAGTGGTTTCCACCATATGACACTTTGTCCTATACAGGGTTCTAGAGGTAGCTCTCTTGACTTAGCACTATGTTATATATGCCACTTAATTCTCATTTGGTTGGTGTTATGCTCTGATATCATTTGTAACAGCTTGAACTCTACCCATCACGACATTGTCTGCCTTGGCTGGGTGGTCTTCCAATTTTGCCCCATTGGTGTAACTTGTAGGATGTCACCGATCGCAGGAGTGCTCGCATGCGAGTGTGCTTAATTTTGAAGTTTTTTGTCGAAACTCCAACCATTATACCAAAAGATTCCTCAATCTTTAAGAGTTCACTTCATTCTACTCAAGGAGTTTCACAATCTCTCCTCTTAAGTAACGGACATCCTCATTAGTGTTGTAAACTAGAATTATCCATCAGATAGATTTGATTCTAAAGCCGACCTCTACAGATTCAAGAGATGGATCCTACCGTGTATCACTTTGTACCATCTTGGGTTCAAGAAGCGACTCCCATGGCATAGCACATAGTTCTATATGACATTTAGTTCTTATCTTCAGGCCAATGTAATGCTTTGATGCTATTAAAGTAATTGTTATGACCCCAACCTGATGCTACCCATCATATCAAAACAGGTCACCTCGTATCAAGATCACACTAGTTAAATGATTTAGCCAAGATCTACTTGAAAAAAAAAAGAATTATTTATTTATCTTTAATTTTTTATAAATGCAGAAACATTAATATCATTAAAATATTATGTGACAAAAATAATTAAATTCATATCTCAACTATACAATAAAAAAAAATATATAGAACCATTGAATAATGTATACATCACCATAAATGTTAAAAACATGGATATAACTTAGTAATATACATAATATCAGACTCTTTATCGTAACCAATAGATTTCATGCATGCAACAACATTAGCCTTATCAGGATGACATATACTCTCATCCATTGAGATATTGTTTGCTTTGGCCTAACCCTTGGCGTAACATCCCAGGATGTCACCCACCTTAGGAGTTTTCCCATTCGAGCGCACTTAACTTTGGAGTTGAAACTCCAACCCTTACAACAAAAGGCGCCTCAATATTTAAGAGTTCCGACTTCATTCTACTTAAGGTGTTCATAATCTCCCCACTTAAGTAACTGACATCCTCATCAGTTTTCTTAGCTCATAATTATCCATCTGACATATATTTCTATCGTGAGATTGGCGTAAGGCTCTGATACCATTTGTAATAGGCCAAACTCTCACTCATCAAGATATTGTCCGCTTAATCTAGTTGTCTCATGATTTTTTCTTAATGATGTAACTTCCTGGAAGGTCACCCATCTTAAGAGTGCTCCTATGCGAACGTGTTTAACTTTGGAGTTTCTGTAGAAACTTCAACCGTTATACTAAAAGGCACCTCAATGTTGAAGTTCTTCACTACATTCTACATAAGGGGTTTCACGCTTCTATCTGCCAACCACATGCAATTTATATAAAATATCGGTTAAATGAAATAGTGGCCATCACATTTTGCAAAGTAAAACTCTTTTTGTTATGGTACATGATTCGTAATAGTCTGTTGACCATTGTCGAAGTATGAGTACAATCTATTACTTTAATAAATTTATGAACATATGGATAAAATTGTGTGATTTTCTGTCTAATAAGATCACAATCTCTTTCAATTGAGAGCAACTTTATAAATTCATCTTCTAAATTCATCTTATAAATTCATCTGATAGTGAGACTATTGCTTGCAACACAAGATTAAAGTATTTACTAACAAAGCTGTTTGTAACTATGAGCGTGTGCTATTTCTCTAAGAAAAATTCCTATTTGTTTTGTCATTTTCTTATTTTTTTGTGTCACTCAAGTGTCCGCTATTAATTAATGAGTCTCTCGGTTGTACAAAAGCCTTGGGTATAACTTGGAAGCTTGAAATAGTTTTAAGATCTCACTAGATTGCCGACAAGCACATATGCAACGTATTGATAACCGATATAGAACTTGTAAAACACGAGTGTCTGAATGTGATCATCATCATCTTTCGAACTGGATTTCTCCATAATTAATGGTGTAAGTTCAATTATAAAAGGGAAACTGTAGATGCATGTCAACCATGCTACAAATCTTATCTGAGAAATTTCATCTCAAAAAACTTTTCATTACTATATAGTTGGTAAAATAACCGTAAAAACAAATTACAAAAACAAAAAATATGCAACACAATGAAAAGTTAAATTTTGATAGTAAGAACCATGAAGTACAAGAAACATATAACAAATAGTTGCTTTGAAAGAGGAAACGGATGTTTCAATGCTATACAAACAAAGAGATAGTACTAACAAAAGCAACATAAAAAACAATACCATCAGCTAAGCTCAATATGTATAAACGCAGATGACACCTAAGTACATATATTACATCCAATTACGTAGCAATGGTCAATCCCACATCATTTGAGAATTTTGTTGTCATTGTTATCACGGCTCTTGTTATGCATGGGGGTAAGTTTCATGCTAGAATACAGAATAAATTATAGAGGCAATTTCCCCTGGTCTTAAGTTTTGTGGAGTACCTCCTTATTGAAGACTATAGCTGACACCAAATCTACTTGTTTGCTTTTTTCGCTTTGTTTTGGAAGCGATCATCTTTTTTTTTGAAATTTCATTGAAGTTTGAGGGTTATTTTGCTCTGCAAAATGATTGAACTTTACTCATGTGTTTGTAGTTGTTCTACATTTTTTGAGTTAATCATTTTCATAGTTTTTGTTACGAACTCCATGCTAGTGATATACTTAAATTTCAGGCATGGATCTTGTTGTTCATTCTGCTGGTCCTTTTCAGCAAGAAGAGAAATGCAATGTTCTAGAAGCTGCGATTTCGTCTAATGTGAGAAACTGTGAATCTGTGTTTGCTTGAGTAGTTTCACTTCATTTTCTTTTAAGAATTCTCTAATTTTGTTATGGTATTTGCCAAACAGACGACATATTTAGATGTTTGTGATGATACAAACTATGCATGGAGGGCCAAATCTTTCCACGAAAAAGCTGTATCTGCTGGGGTTACTGCTCTGACAACTAGTGGAATTTATCCTGGTGTAAGCAATGGTATGCTAATTCAGCATTATTAATATCCTAGAGGTTGTTTGGGATCACTTTTATATTTTATTTTCTATTTTTTATTTTTGTTTTATATTTATTTATATTTTGATTTGAAATAAAACATGTTTGATGATGACAGCCATCAAATTTTCAACGTCCGACATGAATCTCAAGACATGACACAGATCTTGATGCATCTTTTTGAGCAAGAAAATTTCAAACATTAATAAAAAACTCATCTGAAGGTCCGATTTTAGCAAACTTACAGTCAAACTGACCGACTCAACGAGATAGACCCAATGTTATCAAAATTGTTCTAGTCCAAGTAAAATCAAGCTCAAATCAAGATATTAAATTGCTTTTGAAAACTTTTTACGAATATTTGGAAGGTTAAACAAGTTTTAAATTGTGTGAGCTCGTAGTCGAATTGAGCATCTCGAAAAGATGAATCCAATGAGCCCATGATCACTCAATTCTGACATCGTTAATACACTCCAATGTCTATCAAATATCATCTGATCCTGGGAATCTCTCTAGACCGTTCGATCATAATGATTTTTATGGATTCATTAATTACAATCGGGAGTCTATAAATAAAGCCCCTCATCTCATGAGTTAAGATGAGTGTTTGAAGTTTAAAGAAGATTGAAGCTTGAAGAAGTAGCTGAAATTGCATTCTACTTCTGCAACTGTCGACCAACACCAACCACCTTCAACCATCACTCGTCGGCCGCCCACGATCACCATCAACCGCTGCCCACTCCTTGCAATGAAGCATTGTGCGAAGCAACAATAGATGTCGCAGAGTCATGAAGCAACTTGCGAAGAGGTGCATCATCCCGAACAGTGGGTTGACTCCAAAGTGCAACAACGTATCCCGAAGACAGTGTAACAATGCATCTCAAAGACGATGCAAGATTGTATCTCAAAGATGGGGTAACAATGCACCTGACATATTTGTGACGCTCTCGACTCCGGCCCTCGGGGCCTATGGACGTCAATACTACTTACTCATTAGTACAACTTACATGACCAATTATGACCTACGTGGTCTATAGCTCGTGCAACTTTTGACTTAGGCCCCTGTGACCCACAAACATCATCGCGGCTCACCACTATGGCCTATACGACCTACGTGGTACACAACTCTCGCAACTCTTTACTATAGTCTCTATGGCCAACCAAGGCCCCTGAAACAATTATTTATGTCCTACCTGATCAACTGCTATCATGGTTTTCAACTATAAATTCTACGACAACTGACGCTGCAAATATCGTCTACAACACTCAAGACAGATTATTACCTCCACGACAATCGACTAGTGTCCTCGGAGTCTTTTGTCGCCAAGAATTACAGCCAGATTACAAATATATAACTTTGCAATTCTATATTCCCTAATTCAGCAGAAAAGTAAACACGTGTACTCATCTTTTATAATAGATTATTTCAATTGGGCTAGACCCCATAGTTTTGTTACCTTTCAGGAGTTTGTCATGTAAAAAGTCGAGCTGTCCCATCTCGCTTCTCTTTAATTACCTGAGTGGGTGGTGGGTTCTCGTACAATGCTATGATATTATATAAACACTTTGCCACTATGAATCTTCTAGCACGTATTAGTACTCACAACTCAAATTTTATTTTCGAGTAATTTTAAAGATAAGTTGTTTTTTAAAAAAAATTGAAAATAAAAAATGCTTAAAAAATGAGCTAAACAAGAATGCTTTAAAAAACAAAAGTAAAAGTAAAAACAAAAAAAAATAAATCGTATTAATCCTCTCTTAACAAGATCTTGCACTGAATGTTGGAGTTTCTCATAATCTTTGGGACGCATTCGGTTGGCGGGTCTATTTGGTAGAACTGACCCTTTTATGAGTTGTATGGCTTGTTCGATGTCTCGTAGTGGGGGCAATCGATCTCGGAGATCGTCGATCATGACGTCTTGGAAATTGTTTAGGAGTGGCTTAAGTTGTGTGAGCATCTCATTATTCATGCCGGTACCTCCTAAGAGGACTAGAGCTAGTGCTATCGGCGTATCGCAGGCTGATTGTAGGAAGGTGATTCGTGTGATTAATGTGTCAGTGTTGTCGATCATGGGTCGCATATCTATTTTGGCAATAACATGATGTGTATTCCATCATTTTTGAGTGCGTAGGTGTTTTTGAAGCCGTTGTACTGTATTTTTCGGTCGAATTTGACATGCGTCAATGGGGACGACATCGTGCCAAACTTGCTCTTGCAGTTGATTGTCGATGCAGAACTCAACTAAGCATTTTTGATCGATGAAAATCTCGTTTCCCTTTTTAACCAGGTGAAAGAGTAGGATCGCAGATGTGTTTGTGTGACTAGGTCTAACTTCTTGACCATTAGGATGGATATGATATTTTGGCAGCTACCCATCGATGATTAAACTACAGATTTTGCCTTTGACGGTGCATGTAGTACGAAAGATATTTTATCCTAGCCATGATGGATCTCTGTCGGGTTCTGACTGAAGACCCTCCATATGACTAATATTCACCTTCGTCATCGAGGAGGGGAAGTGCCTCTTCTGAACCATCCTCAGATTGGGCTTCCTCAACTTTCTCGAGTTCTTCTACCACGCCTTCTTCAGTAAAGGAGACAACACGGGTGGTGGGGCAATTGCCTACGATGTGGCCGTACCTGTGGCACCTAAAACATTTTTGCAAGAATTGTTCCGAAGAAATTTCTTCTTTCCGGTTCGGGATGCCTTTCGTGCTTCCTGGTAGTGATTTGCCAACTTTTGTAGTGGTTTTGTTTATAGGTGTAATTTGAGGTGATCGTTTGTATGTCGACCACTGGCCGAAGGTTTTGGATTTGGCTTGCTTCTGTTGCCATTTTACTTTTAATGCGAGGGTTTAGTCATCGTTTAGCATAGTTGAAGTTGGACAATATTGCTAATAACAAGTTTTCAACCTCCAAGATAGTGGGCGATTGTGTGCTCCTCTCGCTCGACTAGGTTGCACTTCATTTGTAGTTGATCGAATTGTGTCGTGAATTCCTTAATAAATAGGTCACGCTGATGCAGGTTGTGGAGCCGAAGAAACATATCGTGGAGATAGTGAAGTGGTAGGTATTTCTTTTGCATTGCCTTCTTCATTTTGGCTCACATAGTAATTTTGTCATTCCCGTCGCGTTGTCGTCGTTGCAAGTTGTCCCGCTATAACGACGCACTTTTCTTTAGTTTGATCGCGTCAAGCTTTATCGTTGGGTACCTCCTTGTAATCAAAGTTTCGTTCGATTTCTTGCAACCAGTCGTTCATATCATTGGAGTCCATGCTCTCGTAGAATTTCGGTAGGTCCATTTTGATCTTGAAATCATGATGGATGTCAAACGTGGGCTTCTCCCGAGGTCTCCTGAAATAGTGAATGCCAAAGTGGTGTGGGCGATATTCATCATCGCTGACGTCATTGCAGTTAAACGGATTTAGGTCGTGTCGCGGTTTCCTCTTCGACTCTCGATGTCATGGTCGAGAGTAACATCGCCTTGAGTCCTGTCATCCATCTCGGCCAGTCATTGTTGTAAGTGACAAATTTCTCATTGTATTTCTTCTCAGGTCGGTTCCAACGCATACCGACATGGTGGCATGATCAAAAGTGTTTCGGGAAGAGACGAGAGAAGGAAAGAGAAGACAAGAAGAAGACAAAGGGAAGGAAAGAAGGAGAGAAGGAAGAGAAAAAATTTGGGTGGATTGGGTTGGTTTGGGGGGTTGATGCTAGTGAACCGTAGGGTTGAGCTAGCTATGATACCAAGTGATATCGGAATACCCAAACCCGAACTCAAAACGACACAATTTTAATTACTGATTTTGAAAGAAAATACAACACGGACTCTTGGACAAAGACAACACAACATGTGGACGATAATATAAGAAGTAGCGACTCGGCAAAAGTAAAATAAGTATTTCAAAGAACAGAAACAGTCCTGATTTGTGCCGGAAGATGGTGGAGGCTCTACCGGAAGGCTGTGGGAAGGGTTTGTCGGCAGCTAGGAGTGTGTCAGAGTGAACATCAGTGCTGGAAGGGGGCTGCCAGTGTTGTAGCTGGCTGGAAGGGGGCGCTGGGAGATCCTGAAGGTGCTGCAGTTGAGGGGGCGGTGCAGCAAGGGTGCTACGCAGCATCTGAAGAGAGGTGGAACAAAACCTGGATGGGCTACATAGTGTTGTGGAAAGCACAGGACTGGATGGCATTGCCCGGAGCGGATCTGGGAGAGAGTGGGGCACCAACAGTCTGCTGTTGGGTAAGGGGCGGCGTTGCCCGGTTGACCGGAACAGGGAGGATAACAGCAACGGAAAATGACACCGGGAGGAGGACACAACGGAGGTACACACCACCTTGACGGGATACAGCTGTAGCACCACGCCGCCGAAGGATACAACCCTCGCAAGAGGGAAAACACCAGGAACAGTACCTGAAATTAGAAAATCAACAATCATTTAGAGCCTAAGCAAAACACATATAAATAGGGAGAAGACTTGGTAGCTTGCAATGGAAAGATCTATGAAAGGAAGTGGAGGAAATGAAGAGGGGAGGCTGCAATTGCAACGGCTATAAAAAGGCGGAAGATTAGGGCGCAGGAAGTTGGAGTTGCAACAGAGGAGAGGGGTGGACCGTGCGATTTATGTGAATATGTGTCCAACTTCAACTATGCAATGTCACCCTCGCATTAAAAGTGGAATGGCAACAGAAGCAAGCCAAATCTCAGAACTCCTTCGGCCAGTGGTTGACATACAAACGATCATCTCAAATTATACCTATCAACAAAAACACTACAAAAGTTGGCAAATCACTACTAGGAAGCACGAAAGGCATCCCGAACCGGAAAGAAGAAATTTCTCTGGAACAATTCCTGCAAAAAATGTTTTAGGTGCCACATCCATCAATATATTCTCCCGAGGTCTCCTACAGTGATGCTAGACCGGTTCAATAACTTGCGCAGGCATGCGTGAGTTGCCCGCGGGAGACTACTGCGGGCAGACGAGGAGATAAACTATGGGAGAATGATGAGGGAAATGAGTCTCTGTTACATTTTACTGTATTACAAGAATTACATAAAAACTGTATGTTGGGTTTATATATTGATGGGTTGTTTTTTTGCTATAAGGGAAGAAATGTAGAGTGGTGGGGGTTGCCGAGCCTACTGTGCCATTTGGCAGCAGGATATTGAGTGGACAGAAGATCACGGATGGTAGGAACAGTGGTGGAACATGAAACAGGATAAGGACCCTTATGGGATGGGCCTGAAAGAATTGTTTTACTTGTTTTCAGGTCTTATACATGAAAATTAGCTACTTCAAGGTGAGATTTTTTTTTAGTAAATCGGTTGACAAAGATAAGCTTATGTGAAAGATTTGGGACATGGAAGATTTGAGAAAGTTGAAGCTTATGGGATGGGGAGGATACCAATATTGGCGTGCAAGCTGGGGAGAGTTGTTGCCAACAAAAACCTGCTACTGACTGACATATGTTGTTGGATTTGGCAGATTGTTTGTGCCAGTTGTAGGATGTGGTTGCACCTTAATCACGGAACCATTTGTTAGGTGAGGTGGCGGGTGTGGTGAATAGAGCTTTTTGAGATAATTTCAGGCTTTACTTTAAATCAACCTGATACCAGTATTCTGCTATGGAATCACCTGACTTGCCACATATTAATAGATCACTGGGGAAGTAGAAATTTTCGTTTTTGCTTGCTAGGATAAGAGTGGTTCTGTTATTATTATAGATAACTGTATAAAGCATGATCTTGAGAAGTTGAATTTGGGAAATAGTTGCATCCATAACTGTTGGAGGAAGAGAAAGCAAGGTGAATGTCAGGTGATGAGAATTGTCGATGATGAGAACCCGCATTTACCAGATCTGTCTTCTCAGAACAGAGGGTGGAGCAAAACCATCCATGCTAATCAGATGTAATTGGATCTAGATAGTGATTTTAAATGCTTATTAGCAGTATAAATATAATATCTTTGGGGTCAAGGGGCATGCTGATGGCTGTAATGGAGCCTACCTTGGCCTTGATGGAGGAAATATTTTAGGTAATCGATTGATCTTTCATGGGCATATGGTGGAGTTCATTTTTCAATCAAAGAATGTGGTAGCAATTTCAAAATTGTAGGCATCGGGCAATGTTTGACCAAATTTCTGCAATTGTGCCTATTCTGAGAACATAGGAAAGCAAGGATGGAGTATAGTTGAGCATAGGGCATCAGGAAGATTGTTCAATAAATATACGTGGTTTTTAGTGAGGATTAAGAGTGCCAAGCAGGATAGTTCTCAACGGAGATGATTTTTGGTGGGCTCCGGAATGCCATCCATGTTGCCATTGAAGTCACTGACATGAAAGATTTTGAGAGTTTTTGATTTCCAAGCTGGATAATTCTCAACGGAGATGATGTTCTTCATGTAAGGCATTGAAACTTTAGTTGAGAGGGTATGGAGCTGTTTTCCATTTCGAGAAGAGAGTCCACTGTTGTTGTTGCGTCTGAATCCTCCATGGAATTAACTAAAGACATAGTTATAGAGCTAGAGTATTACCGGTTGGCTAGAAAGCTCTGACACCATGTAGAGAGGTAAGAAACAGGGTTAGTTAAATGTTAGTAGCTGTGATTAACTAGGTTGTAGATGGAGAGATGAGGTAAACAGAGAGCATCTAAACCTAATAGTAAAATGTCATTGTTCATCTTCCTAACTATTACAATGATACTGAGATATATAAACTAAGCTGGAGAATATTTCTGATTCAATAGCAGTGGTAGTTAAGTACTAGTGGCTGTGATTAAATAAAGTGTTACATGCCAGTGGCTGAGATTGATTGGAAGGAAAAGTGGTGGCATGGCTATTGCTGTGCATCTGTTGCTGTTATTATTTATGGCATGCTTTTCATGGTAAAAATTTAAATTTGCTTTTGCTGACTACCTTTAATCCTTTTATCTATGCTAAAATTTGGTGTGTTGCTTTTCTTTTTCAGTTTATATGAGCTCGCACTTTCTGTTTTCTTATCTTGATAAATGGAAAATTTAAGTCTCAGATATCAGTGGTACCTATTAATTATACTGATAGCAGAATAACTTTTTTTTATAGTTCTATATTCAACCATATTTTCTAGTTGAATACTGCAAATCATTATTCTATTATTGATTTTAGCTGTACCTATTGCGTCAAATTTCTAACATTGTTTCTACTTTGATATTATCATGGAGTTTCCTTCTGACAGTAATGGCAGCAGAGCTAGTTCGTTTGGCCAAAAGTGACAATATTGGTGAACCAGAGAGACTGAGGTCAGTACTATATCAAAGTTCTAGTAACTAAAGAGCATAAGGTAGTGGAAACCTTTTATTGGACCAAGGAACTGAATGGGTATTGAATTGTTCTTTTTTATTCAAGACGAACTCTATTTTCATCATTGATATTTTCTTATAAGAAAAGAAAGTATCCATCGTTTTAAATTTGTATCTCTTGTTTATTAGCTTCATTTGATACTACTTTTTTGTTGCGTTGTTTTTCAAAACAATACCATATAAAACTTATGTATTTGAGAATAATAATGAAAGAAAGAGCGTTCTATTTCTTGTGCATCCTTCATGATCAAGGGCAACATGATTGTAGAATAGTTCATCCATCTCTTTGAGACTATTAATGGTTTTGTTTTGTATAGAATAACACAACACAAACAACAGCAGCATAGTATCTCCAAATGATTCCCATGCACCCATATCTTTTTCCAAACAATTATACTAATTGAAAGGTGTATGGCAGGTAAAATCAGACAAGTCTTTCTTGACTCGTGGGATACTTAAGGTCGTGATAGTATCAAAGCAAAGATATCAGATCTTAGGTATTTGTCTATTGGGAAAAGTATTGGTAGAGTTGGAAGTCACCAACCGCTAATTGTGAATGTGCACCAAATAATGCTATAGATGGATGCAAACATAATAATGAGAATAGGACCATCAATGATGAGGAAAATGCAACGTGCTTCTAATCTAACGGGGATAGTAGTCCAAATTCTAGCTTCATTGAGGCACATTGCGGAATGCTGATGACACCTAGCCACATCAAGGTGCATTATATTTATTTGGAGCCATTTTTTAAAATAAAGTTGCAATAGTTCTTGGGAAGTACAAACCTGCTGGAAGCTGAGGATTAGTTGATGCACATGTTGAATATTTTTGAAAATTTATGCATTTCGGTAGAGAAAGTCTCGGCAGCCTGCATAGTTTTCTTTTTAGGGTTGAGAGTCTAGCCTTAGGGTTCTCCCTTTGACTCTTAGTGCCTTAGAAATGGAACCCGCCTCATTTTAGAAATTCAATCTGCTTCTTTACTCTTTTGGAGTTTCGCATGTGTGGTATCGACCTCTAGCACTTGGAGGTTGAAACCAACATGAGGAAACCCAAAAGGAGCCCCTATAAGATCATTAAGCCCTAGGATTGCCTCATGCACAATATGCACCTTCGTGCGCACAAACTTTGTAATTTGGAGAGTCTACACGTTTGATCACTACAATTTGCATCGCCAGTGCCGTTATTTGTCGAAAGCTTAAATAATTTTTTTTGAAACGATCATCCACGAAAATTGAATTCGACGTTTTTTTGACCCGATCATCGACAAAGTTGTCCGGACGACCCAGATGATGAAACGGACGACACCGACGCTTCTGGAATGTCAATTTTAGCTAAGAAGGACATTCATTTTGATAGGGCGCCGCTCACGAATAAATTGCACGAAATTTACATTTTTTTAAAATAAATAAAAAAAAAGATAAAATCCTTATTTTAAAATTCCTGAATCCCTAATTGCTAAACTCACCCACCCGTCTGCTCTTTTTTTCTTATTCTCGAGTTCGGCCCGATCGCTGCCCTAGCCGAGCTTCATTCCTCTCGAGCGAGTTCCATTCTTCCCGCGAAGCTTCCTCGAGGTCCGCTCACTACAGCTTTCGACTTTTCCTCCACTTCCCTGTGCCCTGCGAAAAGCTTCCACCTACTCCTTGCCGCGCCCCAGCTTTCCCCTCGCCACGCTCCCTACGATGCTTGTCGTTTCTCGCCCGTATCTTTTGGTTCGGCTCACCACTCCGGCAAGCCATGGTATTTCGTCTCCTCCCTTCCTCTGCTATAAAAAACCTCATTTGGGGAGTCTTTAGGGTTGACCGAAATTTCTGGAAGGGGGAGGTGCTGCCATTTTTTTTTTTTTGGTTGGTTCACCCTGTGTGTGTGCTTCAAATATTTTTGGAGTCATGTTTTCTCTTGTGTAAAGCCTGAGAGAGGAGAAGAGGTTGATGAAATGTTGGAGAGGGGGCAGTTCTGTTGTTGGATCACTGTTGGTTGTGTGTTGTTGCCTCGGAGCTTTTGTGTTCGTTCTTTTTTTGTTCTTTCAGCAGGTAAGTCCTCTCCCTTCTCCTCTTCCGTTTTCGATGTTATTTTTCTTTGATTTCAATTGATTTCAATGGTGTGTATATATATATATATATATATATATATATATATAAACAGGAAGAAGAGGAGAGATGGTTTATGCTGTTATTTCTTTAGTCCTGTTTATGGTGGTCATTTTTTTATATAATTATGCCTAATGGCTGCACTCATCTCCAACCTGTGTTTTACTTCTTTTCTTTACACATAGAATATTTACACATGGAATCTCGAAATACATATAAGCTTGGGTTGGGATTCAGTGGGTTGCTTTGAGCTGCATGACCTTGTTGTTTTGAAGAAGCTTAAAGCTCATTTTGGTTTGATTGTTATTACAAATGTTATTTTCAGGCCCTACCGGCTTGCGGTTTGGTGAGGGTAAAATTGCTGTTTTTTTCAATGCTATAATCGCGATGTTTTGGGACTGCCTCATGATTTATTTGGCGACGGTTTTGGGCACTGTTTTTGGACTATTTTAACGCTACTTTAAGGGATGGTTAAGTACAAATTTTGAGCCTTAAGAATTACTGTTTTGGGTGCCTTCTTTACTGTTTTGTGCACCACTTTGGTGCTGTCTTTGGAGGGACTTCGGGGCTGTTCTTGCTCAACTTCCTCACTGATTTGGGCACTGTTTTGAGGCATTTCAGTGGGCTTATTTGAAGTAACCGAATAGTGATTTCAAGGCTTTTTTGTGTATTCTTTTGGAGACTTGAGAATATTTTTTGAGGGCTTTTGGAAAGTGAAAATTTCGCTTTTAGGAGAGCTTTAAATGTTGTTTCATTTGGGAAAGTTTGAAATCGCAGTGGATTGGATTTATGAAATTTTGGGAAGCTTTTGGAACATCGTTTTGGGAAGTTTAAAAGATGATTTTCTTTTATATATCGGTTGTCTCCTCTTCCCTCTCTCTCTCTCTCTCTCTCTAACCTTTACATGAGAGTCGTTAGTGCCTTATGTTGATTTTGGGGAGGAGCTTAGGCGGTGTGCTTTGTAGTGTGAGAACATTTGAAGTTCCAATTGAGTTTTTTCAAATTCATGTTGTTGGAGATTGTAAATCGTTTTAAACGCAGTTTTGAGGGCCGATCCACCCCTCATTTTTTTTTATTTTTCAGGTGGATTAATCCTTCCTCTCTCTCACCCCCATTTTTCTTCTTTTCTTTTCTTGTTTCTTGGTTTGGTTTAGGTGTTTATGTCCGAAACATAAGCTAAGCGCACATATATAGCATTTTGCTTTATATGAAACATCAAGCAAGTCTGTAAGTGGTCAATTTCAAAGTTCCCGGACAATAATGTAAAAGGCATCTAGGTATGCGTGAGAACTTTTAGCACAATCCTGACTCAGTGACCTTGAGAGAATGAGGGATTGACACTACTGCACCTCTAGTACTTAGTAAATAGTTACCACATTCTTTCACAGACAGTGGGAAGTTTCAGCTTATTAATATGACTGACTCGTTAACTTTCTAAAGTATGAAAATTTCTGTAAGTGATATATATGTATACACATAATTAACTAAAAAAATCTTTCAAGTGCATAACAAATCAAAGTATCTTTTGAAAAATAAAATCCTTCTTAAATATTTTCTGAAAACTTCGCGGGTCAGTGATATGAATTAGGTTAGGATTTACCCTTTTTTGTGATTGTTAAGCCGGTGACATTTTACTTAGTGTTGGATCATACATACATGGTGTTGATTATTTCGTTAGGGCCCCAGGGTCTTGACTTTGGCATAAGGTCCTGATTCTGAGTCCACCCCGTCCCGAGTGCTTACCGTTTCTCTCCTTTTTTTCGGATTCTTCGTGTGTGCTTACAGTTTTATTGAAATTTTTTAGAACACTCATAGTATTTCTTCAGATTTTGCTCTTTTTGCTCGTTTTTTTTATGACTTTCTTCGAGTTATCGTGGGTCATTTGTTGCTTTTCTCGAGTCTTTCCAGGTGGTGTTTCTTTTTGCTACTCATGCTTATATAAATGTCATGTTTGCACGTCTCTTATAGTCTTTTACTATACTAGTACCTGTGGCATCGACCACATTTATAGGAGCAGCAGCCTCTTCAGGTATATAGGTTTGTTTGTTTTACATTTATAGTATTTAACTTTCTTTACTTGCGCACTTTAATGCTTCTTTACTGTACATTTACTGCATTTTCTCTACTATTGTTTTCCTTACTGCACTTTCTACTGCTTTTCTTTTACTGCACCTGTTACTTTTTCTTTTGGCGCAACCTGCCCTTAGAATAGGAGACCAGTAGTCTGGTTTTATAGAAGATACCCAGTATTAGATCACCGACCCAATAATTATACTTGCAAATACAAAACATAAACTAAACTCGGAGTCGCTACAATTTGGAGTTTGAAATTAACACCGCGGGCTGCACGACGAAGATGTACAAAAGAATAACTTTGATAGATCTACAACAACATACATTTCCTTAGAATTAAATAAGAAGTCATAGGACTTCGAGCTAATCTGCCTAGCGCTACATAAATCCTCATTTTATCTTTTAGGCCTTTGCACAACCAAGTTGTGCAATTTAAACCCTAACTCTCTTTAGGTTTCGAGGTTGTCGTCCGATACGATGTAAACCCTCATATCTTCCAGGTCATTTTGATGACCGTATCATGCAAATATAAGTCCTAAATAATAAAATTGGCAGGATGAAACATCAAATAACATCTTCTCGAAATTGAAGCTAAATAATAGGATAGTTTGAGAAGTCACCGAGGTTTTCCCTCCGAATCTGTGACATCCCCTATTTTTCTTTTCTTTTACTCCAGAAAAGTCACCGAGGTTTTCCCTCAGAATCTGTGACATCCCCTATTTTTCTTTCCTTTTACTCCAGAAATAAATATTCTTTTTTGATCATTTCTCACTTGACTTTTCTATGTCCAATCTTGAAAACCCTAAACTTTGGATTCATGAAGATAGATACCTCTGATCATCATCGAGAGTTCTCTTAAGTGACTTCAGTCATTTGAGAGCTAATTAACTATAGGGGATTGCCTCTATAGGCGCCTATATAGGGAGCTTTAAAACCGAGATAATATAAACTATCTAATTTTTAATATTAGTTAGAGGAACTTGTCGATCAACATAAATGTTCGCAGATTAAAACGGATGTCATAAATTCTTTAGTTTATATAATCGAGCCTCACTAGCAAGTAGTATATCTATCGCTCGAGGTAGATATATTGCTTGCCTTGTTATGCTCGATCATTTAAACTATCGCAGATATGAGATCGGTTTGGTCTTGTATTTCAAAAATCAAAATATTACTTTTTATAATATATATATATATATATATAAAGCTTGATGTAATGAATCTTCTGTGATATATTATATTAAACATTTTTTAAAATCGGGCATTGGGATATCCATTCCGGCGGCGACAATTTCTAAATTTTTTAAACGACCGACAAGTCTTCACGATGATCAAGAACATTGATCATTGATAGAGTGCTTGATTACATTAGCTTAAGAGATTGTTAAATACCGCTCTCTCTTTTAAAGAGTTTGTCTAAGCCTTTCACAACTGGTAACTAGATTTGTCTAGGAAGATATGGAAGTTGTTAAGTTTGAAAGTAGGTCATTGGAGCTTGCTTTTCACATATTGAATATGGCACTTACGAAGGAACAACATTATTGTCTCTACTAAAGGGGATTTAGGGGTTCCCTTCTGAAAAAAATTGGTGTTATTTTACCTTTAGAACTGGGAAAACTTGTTGGAAAAGGTGACATTGGTAAGGAGTTACACAAGTAGAGAATGAAAAAAAATATGAATCGAGCATGATAAGAGTAAGGGGAAGATTGATTGCTATGGTGACTGACATAAACTGCGGCCAAAGATGAAACCAAAAAGGCAGTCTATGCTTTAAATGTGGAGAACGTTAGGAGGAAAATGCTTTTCTAAGACCCAATTGTTCTATCCATGCAAGGGTTTATGCCATTTCATGCATGGTGGCCTATCAAGTGTAGTACCAACTCTGGGACTTGACCTGTCAATAGAAGACCAGTGGTCCGTAGGAACACACAAACTTTAAGCCAATTGTAGCAACCAAGTTGCCAAGAAACACTTAATGACTTGAATTCTAGTCATTCAATTAGCTGTCAAGTAGCTAAAAAGTTTGTATGATTGAATTTTATTCTCTTATTTTATGTCAAAATTAACATGAGATTTTATGCTTAAATAGGCAGAAAAATATTTATCAAGGAAATAAATAAATTTGAAAACCATCATTTAACTTTGAAATCCTGAATTGATTACATCGTTGAAAATGGAATACTACTATCCATGACATTTTGGATTGTTGTAATGGGAATTTGCTATTCATGGATTGTGCGATTACCGGAGATGGAAAGTTATTGCCCATAGATTATTGTATTGCTGTAATTGAAAGGTGGTGGCCATGATTCAAATTTATTTCAACAATTTGTGTTGTATTTAATTGTTTTTTTAATACAGATCTGCGAGCAATTTGAACATGAGTTGAGCCATGTTGAAGCTAGGTTCACGTGATCTCCTATCTATTTGCATTTGACTATAGCTTTTTTGGGAACCCCTCTGAGCTTGGCCCTCTTTGTGCATGAATTTTGTGAACGACTTCTTATAGCTGGAGATAGCACTGAAGAAAATGAAATCTTGGACAATCAAGTCGAAAGTTTAAAGAAAATAAAACAATAGGAAAACATAAGTGAACGTCTCAAGCTAATTATCCATGTAAGCTCACTGAGAAAATCTGTGAAAAGAAAAGATTAGCGCGCGCACACACTAAGGACAGGAAGAGAAAGTTGGCCCTCGATGGTGACCTTTACCTCCCTCTAGCTTTACAAAACCTTAATGTAAGAATTTTAACTGAGTCCATTTTCTCCCATATGCAGCAACTACCCTGATATTCTTATAGAAAAGTTCAGTTGGTGTTACGTGGTTGTTTAGGAAGTGTTCCTTTCTTTGTAAATTTGAACTGTCCATGGTATAAAAAAACGGTTTTGTTATGTTAAGATTTTTAATTATCTTTTGTTCTTTTATTATCAGGTTGGTAGCACCACTCCATGATTACAAGATCCAGTAAAAAGTTAAAAAATGATTAATGTTGAAACCATAATCTTGCTCGATGTTAATCCCATTAGAACAGAAGGCTGGTGTAAGACAACCAATTCTATATTAAAAATATTTCACTGCTTGGCTGCAAATTAACTGACTAAACACAAATGTGTTAATATTATCATGCTTTCTTTAAACTCACAATCTGTTTGCATAGGTTTACAAAAAATATATGACTCCACAATTATGTGGCCCTGCATGGTCATTTTTTAAATTGCATGTTCAAGTTTATTTAAGTGTAATGAGCAGGACATCTAAAATACTTGTGAGTGGTAGCTCAGAAGTTAGCTAACATGCTTAAAATAAATACAGTTTTAAAGTTTATAATCTTCAAGCGATTTGTTTACGTTTGTTGTCTGAATTCATCTTTATAATTTTTGAAGTCAACTGGCTTATATCTAGTTTCTTGAATTTTCAGTTTATTATCGTTTGAAATCGTTGCGTATGATACTTATGGGAGCCCTTCAGATTTTTTTACTACACCGCAGGTTCTGGTGGTGCTGGGCCGACAATATTGGCTACTAGTTTTTTGCTTCTTGGAGAAGATGTCATAGCATATAATAAAGGTTTATTTTCTTCACTAATAATTTCTGTACATGCCTTAGGAACATGACCTTGGCAGTTGACTCTTCTTATCAGGCAAAGAAATCAAATTAAACTCTTACAGTGGTATGTTGACTGTGGACTTTGGAAAAGGGGTTGGCAAAAAAGACGTATACTTGCTGTAAGTTCAAAGCAAATTTGAAGGTTTATTTAGTCAGTCGAGCCAATGTGGAATCAGTTTATTTAGCATTCCTATTGTCTTTTTATTGAAGTAGGTTTGTCTTTTGATGCACTTTTAATTTACATCCTTGACTAAACATTTGTTTATACTACCTATGTATTCTCTAAATGCAAGTAACTCGGGAGCTTTTTGCTTTTAACCCATTTTCTTCCTAATTTAGTTTTTTTAATGTGAAAAACTATATTTAACACAAATTTTTCTTTTACGCTCAAATATAGCCACTACTAAACATTGATAAATAATTATCAAAGCACAGAGCAGGAAATTATATTTTTATAGTTATTTTTCCAACTTTTACTGCCCAACTCCAATAATTATCCAGCTACAATCCAACTTTATTGATATTATCATAAAATGGAAATTATTTTGATGATATGATAGCTTAATTGGAATGATCTAGCATCCAAGCATTGAGCTTCATGCAAGCATATACATATATTTATGATAATTCATCTCCATTACAAGTGTCACACCCCAATTGGACCCCTAAGAGTTGGTTGTGATGCGACAGAGGCGGACGGTTCGGTCAAATTAAATTCTCACAAGCACTCGTCCTGATTTACAGAATCAGGACTCAATGAGTGATAAACTAGTCTAACTGAATTGTCTCAAATATGCTTAATACATTTCATTTCATAATTAATTCATATACATATACTTGGAATTGTAAAAAGTATATATATATATATATATATATATATATATATATATATATATACAAAATTGCTAAATCGAACATAATAAAAATATGTACCCAATAGTCTATACAAGCTCTCAAAATTATAAAATGCTATAGCTGCACATGTCACACATGGCTACTCGCTTAGTGCTTTTTATCTCTTCCTAAAAATTAACAACGTAGAGTGAGCAACAACGAGCTCAGTAAAATAATCAAAATTAAAATAGGATTCTATAGATGAAAAAGAAATAATGTGCATGCTCATATGTAACTCATATACATGTCCACAACACATGTCACGACATACTATAATCGTATAAAATATGGGAAAACATGTAATGCAAGAAATCATCACTGCTGTATAAAACATCTATTTCATTCATTCATATGTAATCATAAGTATATTCATATGAGTCATCAATATAATCATAGGGATGTCACCTGTAGTTATATAGACTTCAACTATTTGCATGTCATATTATTTCATTGAATCGTCACCAAACTCAAATGCTACATCAACTATTGATAAATGTTACCCCCAACATAGCAGTTATTAATAGCTCTCTTGTACCAACTCTGTTTGAATACTAAAAGTCGGGAATCTCATCATTTCCTATCATTCGTACCTGCAAGTATTACTGTAATAACTTGCTTATAACATCACTTGTGATATTTTTTAAATCATAATATATGTAACAAGCTTTTATTTTAGGCAATTCATATATCATATATATAAATCATAATAAATGAGTACATGCTAACAATTGTTTCGTAAGCATGTTCATCAGATTCACAACATATTAATATTAATGTGTTGCATTCATACAATTTATGCATATATTTATCCACAATCTGCAAAAAATTTTATATGCAATAATGTTAAATATATAATCATATGGATCTGCAGAGAATTATTTTTCTTAAGTGAGCACAAAATTATTTCAGATGAATTCATAGAGCAGTTCTACGATTAGTTTTTCCTAGCTTGCTGCTAGTATAAACAGCCTGAAATTTGTAAACATCTTAAGATTTCATAAAATCTTTAGCTCATTATGTGATTTAACCCCAAACATAACTTTCTTATCTTAAATAAGCTTTTCTGCATAACCAGCTCTTCTTCAATACTTCCTATTCTTCTTCCCCTTTCTATTCTCCCTTTTACCCACATGGAATCCCACAAATCATGTTTATAGTCTCTAACACAAGCTCGCCGCCTTCTGTTATGGCAACCATAAATGAAAAAGTGCATTGATTCGCAACAAATGTCAAAATGAAACCGTACGGAAGGAAATGAACTACACAAATATCGTGAAAGAGGGATCCTTATTTTTCATTTTCTCCCTGGAGCCTCAAACTGTGGGTTTGGCTCTCAGCCAAATGCTCAGTTTCCGCCCTACTACGGAAAGCGAGCCTCAACTTTCACGTGAAGGAGAATTCAATAGGAATGCAAAGATTTTGGATTGTTTTATTGATCTTATGATGAATTCTCCTTTTATAGGCCAGTGGCTACAATGACGGGATTAAGGGAGAATAATTAAGGGATTAGGATTTATTAAAGTTTAATTAAACTTTTATTTCATAACTTAATATTCTCATACATTTAAAGTTCATGTTTAGTGTTAAATCATTTCGATCGAATTCTGATGTTTAGTGTTAAATCATTTCGATCAAATTGATCGATTCAACGTGAAGAATTTTATAAATCATTTCGATCGAATTCTGAGGGATATGAATAGGACTGTCAAAAAGGCTCGTTGTTCGCGAACAGCTCGTGTTCGGCTCGTTAAGAAGCTCATGTTTGGCTCGTTCGCTAAGTTAACGAGCCGAACACGAACAACACGAACAAATATTTGTTCGTTCGTGTTCGACTCGTTTTGGCTCGAAATACTACTAATCAATTTTATATATATCTTTGATGAGTAGTATTTTTTAAAAAAATTTAATTGACTACAAGGCTA